TTTTGCAGTCTGTAAAAAGGGCTAACTCGAGCCAATTTGCACTTAAAAGAAAATTTAATGGAAAGAAACCGAGGTATCCCAAGGATCCAAAATCAGAAATGTAGCCATGGTTCCAGAAAGAAACCCAGACCTATAGGCAAACTAGGTATTGATTTTTCTTTATATAATCTCTGCATTTCTATGGCATTATTATTATCTTCATCATCATCATCATCATTATTCTGTAGAATGGCTTTCTTTGCTTTTCCAGGCACATGACATAAGGTGACGTCCCAGTAATTTCTAGGTACTTTTACTTTTTTTAAATGGCAGACACAGCTCAGAATTAACCTAGGTTTCTGTCCCTTTCCAAATTTCTGAGAGAAAGATCTGGTTCAAGTAATATTGAGTCAGGTAATCTTTCTAGTCCAGTCAATTCTGACTAAGTCATGCAGTATGTACATGGCTTCTGGTACCACTTGTGGAGAAGGGGTAGATCACCAGAGAAAAGAGGTTATAGTGAGCTGGGTATAATTGCCCAAGGTTTTATCAGGATTACATGGTGACAATATGACTAAGTCTGGGATTATGGAGGCATTGTTAGATTTTGGATGTAGGAGCAAATTATATTTCAGTGTTATGATTCTGCATTTGGGGAAATAAAAATGTGGGATTTTTTACAGTGACTGAAATCCCATGGTTAAAATTCGGTTTTTTTGTTTTAAGACCATGGTTCCTAAATTTGCCTCATCACTGGTTCTCAAGCCGTGGGTACATATAAGAAAAACTTACAGAAATCTTTTCCCTTGCCATTACTCTTTTCTTTTAAAAAAAAATGTACAGACAGTGCACTATCCCAGAAACACAGATTTCATTGGTATAGGGTGGGTCCTTGGTGCTATTATATTTTAAAATTCCTCATCTATTTGTAATATGCAGCCATTGTTGAGGACCTGGAGCACTACATCACTGGATGCTTGTTTTAGTATAGAGTTTCACACCCTCCCCCCAGCCTACTGAATCAGAATTTGCGTTTTAATAAGATTCCCAGGCAGCTTGTATGCACAGTAAAATTGGATAAACACTCTCTAGGCTTCCTGAATATTTGGCAATGGAACCAGGAGTTTACTAGGTCTGTAGTTTTCAAAAGTGTGATCCTGGGACCATGGGGATCACCTGGAAACCTGTTAAAAATGTACTTTCTTGAACACCAGCCTATAACTTCCAAATAGGACACTGAGGTGGGTGGGGCCCAGCAGTTTGTGGTTGACAAGCCCTCCTGGTGATTCTGGGTGATTCTGATGCAGGTTTTGGGATTTGAGACCACTGGATTGAAGGAATTTTTCCCCTCGAGCCTTTTATTAAAATAAATACTCTTGGAGTGAAGTGACATTGATGTTGCAACTTGTAAATGATTTGGCAAGTGAAAAAAGAAAAAACTACACATATATGTGTAGAGAGAAAAAGAACAAGTATGATGAAATGTATTATTGTTATTCCTCATATCATTTATATAAATGATATGACTTAGATTCCGAAGTAGTAAGTAACTAGTCCAAGGTAATCAGCCAGCAAGCACATGGTAAAACCAGAACTTGGGCCTCTGTGCCCCTTGCGCATTACTACAAGCTGGAATTTGATGCCCTTTTCCATGTTAGCTTGCCTGGTTCGTCATCCCAGGCATGTAGGAATGCGGCTGTGTTGCGTTCCACAGACCCAAGAGCAAACTAGAGAATGCGTAATTGACTTTCATTACTATGAGTCACACCCATCTTTCTTTCCTCCCTCCCACCTCTCTACCTTTTCCCCTACAGCCTTCACTGTCATACTTTTTGGTAGACTTTGAGGGTCTGGGCATGTTTGTATCTTTCACTTTGGCATCTAATTGGGACCAAGTGTTCTGTGGTTTAGGTGGGCATATTCAGGAATATGCTTGATTTGAGTAGCCCAGATTTATTATTTGAGTTTTGAGGCTTACTTTAGCTAGACAGAGTTGCAGATTTGCCCTGTTCATGGCCTTAGAGTTAGAATTGATTATGAAACAATGGGAACTATTAATTAAATACTTCACATTTTTTATTCTCTGCATCATTCCTCAAAATAGTTGTGGTGATTAAAGATTACTGTTATATAGTCTTTTATAACATTCCGTAAAAGTTTTGATCCAAGTTAGAGTAGGATGAATTCTTTAGGTTGTTGACTTTTTTCTTTTTTTTTTATAGCAGTAATTTATTCCTACCTGATGATTAAAGCATCATATGTAAGCATTGTTTTACTTTAGATCATTGATCTCTCAGAATTCTGTCTTTAATTTCTTTTACCTTTAATTGAACTCATGATGTCATTTTTAGATATCGTATAAAAGAGAACCAGGAGACAGAGCCACAGTGGTCTTACTTTTATACAAACTAAATTGCCATTGTGGCCCAGTATAAATCTAAGTGCTGAGAGCAGTTACTTATTTTCACAACAGAATTAATTGAGCCTAAGAGAGTTGAAATTCCAGTTGTAGCAAACTATTCTTTCTGGCTCTTGCTCTGGCTTTGATATTGTCAGGAAGAGTAACTTGTCTTATGCCTAAATAGCAGAATCATGGGCAGTGAACAGCATTTGAGGGATGCTGAATAAACTTTCTACTTGTTAAACAGTTCAGAAGTGATGTGCTGCGGTGTGATCAGAATATTAGTTGATATCCAGCTGAGCTGTCAACTGGCACTGAGCCAGGCACACAAAGCTTTGCCATGTGGAGCATATGCTATTTGAAGAGAACATCTTTTTTCATGCATAACTTAATGTTTTTTTTAAATGATATATCTAGTTTTATTATACCACAAACTGTTAGTATTCTGATCTTTTTAGAAAAGCTTATGAATGGGTGGATGGTACTCATTTAAAAAATTTAAATATATATATAATTTGAAAGGATTTGACATCTTATACTTTAAAATTTCATTTTGAATAGTTTATTTTTATTGGACATTTTCGTATTTCAAGTGGATTTTAAGGGTAGGTTTAGAAAAGATAAAGAGAAAAGCCATGAAGATTACATTGGTATAGGAAAAAGGTTTTGTGGAGGGGGGCAGTAGAATTTTATTTAAAGGGATTAATTTTATGTTGTTAAGGAACAATATAAAATTGTTCCTTTAGTATTTTCACATATATAAAGGTGCCTGAAAGTTTTCAAAGAATATATGCTATATCTGCTAAGGTGATAGATATCAAAGTGTTTCTAGACATATTTTTATATCTGTCCAGCATCCAGCCATGTAATATGAAATAGAAAATTGTAAGATAAAAACTTGTACTGGACAATGATCCTCGTCCCCTTCAAAGTAGGCAGCTTGAGACCTCACACAGTTCTCCCAATCACCATCAGCTTCCCCGTCATATTTTCCTGAACGATTTGAAATCTTGTTCCATTCAAAGGTGATTTTAGTTTGGGGAAAAGCCAGAAGTCACAGTGTGCCAAATCTGGGTCATAGGGGGGCTGAGTCACCTGGGTGATTTGGTGTTTCAGAAAAATACTCTGCACGACACATGATGCATGAGTAGGCGTTTTGTCCTGATGAAGCAGTCAATCACCAGTTACCCACAGCCATGGCTGTTGTTGGTTCTATTACATCTCTCAACCTACAAAGAACATTGAGGTAGAACTCCTCATTAATTGTTTGGCCTGGAAGGGCATACTCGTGATGGACACCTTCCCAGTCAAAACAACACATTATGTGGTTTCGATCTTGCTGCGACTTTGGCATTCCTTGTTCGGGTGTGGAGAAGCAGGCAGCTTCCATTGGGATGACTGGGCCTTTGTTTCTATAACATAGCTGTAGACCCATGATTCATCTCTGGTTATGACCTGCTTGAGGAAATCTGGTTCATTGGTAGCGGTCTGAATCAAGTCATTAGCAACTGCAGCACAGTGTTTCTTCTGCTTTGGTAGCAGAAGCCACAGAACAGATTTTGCTATGACACATTTCATGCCAAGATCCTGCATCCAAATCTCAGACACAGCAGTTTTTGCAATCCCCAGATCAGCTTCAAGTTCTCGCACTGTCAGTTGCTGATCTTTGTTCATTGCAGCCCATATATATTCAACATTCTCAGATGTTCTGCTTGTTGCAGACCTTCCAGAATGTGGATCATTTCCAACAGATTCTTGACCATCTTTAAAGTATTTGTGCCACACTGTCATTTGCACCACATTCATTACACCATTCCTGAAAGCCTTCTGAATCATCCGAATAGCTTCTGTGGAGGAATGTTCACACTTAATGCAAAAATTGATGCAGATTCATTGCTCTGCTCGCTCAGTCATTTTTGATGTGACAGCCACACAGTACACGTGCTCACTCAAGAGGATCTACTACCCCCACTGACTAGTACACTGAAGTCATCATTCACTCATGCGTATTACATCAATTTTGTGCAAACCATTCTTGTAATTTTAACAGCGACTGGACTTTTTTCCAGATAGACCTTGTATATAAAGGGCTTTCTGTAAATTATGATCGTATTAATAAGCTAGTCTCCATTTTTAAAACTGTTAGGATTATTTTGATTTTTAAATTTATTGCTCATATTTTAATATTATCACATGGCACTGAAACACATTTCAGAACATTTCAAAAGATTCAGTTGACCCTTGAACAATATGGAGGTTGGTGGTGTTGACCCTCTCATGGTTGAAGATCTGTATATAGCTTTACTCCCCTGAAACTTGTCTGTTGGTATTCATCAGGAGATTGTTTCCCAGACCCCCAAGGATACCGAAATGTATATATGCGCAGGTCCCCCTGTACAAAGTGGTATAGATCAATGCATACAGTTGACCCTCACCCAACTGTGAATCAAAAACAGCAAAGGTATTTAGTGGGAAAAAATCCATGTAAGTGTGGACCTCACAGTTCAAATCCATGTTGTTTAAGGATCAGCTTTATTTTAATGGGGTTTGATTTGATTGTTTTCTACCAGCTTTTATTTTTAAACTAGCAGTTCATATATATACATATATATTTTTTTAGGCCTTATTGAATTTGAAGAATGTGATCCTGCTAGTGCAGTTGAAGGTAAGTTAACCAGCTGTGATGTGTGGCAATTAGCTAATGTCTTCTGTTCATTGAAAAAGTAGAGAGGGGCTGCTTTCCATTGGTGTCAGCATGTGTATGAAATGATGAAAAAATCTGAGTATTGTTTGAAGGCCTACAGAATCTCATCTTTGCTTACTAAATAAATGGTAGGTTAGCTGAAAAGATTATTATTGGTTAGAATATACATTTTGAAAGTTGAATGTAAGTGCACTTATTTTCAAATACACATTGACATTACTTTCCTCATTGACACTCAATGTCATAAATGCGAAGCTCATTACTGCATAATATATAGTGCTTGTCCTATAGTAGATAATGTTTCAGTAATTAATGAGGTTATGCATTAATGTTGATATTACCATCATTCAGATGGGCGATGCTTTGACTTGAGGAAGGGTCCACACTCTACTTAAGTTCATGTTTTTCACAGTATGAAACCCAAGAGATGGCTGCTATTTTCATAATATTTTATATATCTTACTTTGTGAGCAACTAGATTTAATTTGAAAGCCAAGTTCTGATTTTTCTAAGACCTGTGTAAGAATTTAGAGAAATGGTTTGCTCTTGTGTGCAAGGTTATTATTGGAGTAGTCAGGAGCTCTGGGGCCTACGCTTCTTATAGTTACTAGCTCTTTGAGAGCAATAATGATTTAAATTCTCTGTACTTCAGCTTTTGTTATTATAAAATGTTGATAGTAAATAATACTCAAAATAAAACTGTATTTGATTTTTAAAATATTATAATGTGCTGTATTAATGTATGGTTTAGGGAGTTTGTTTTGCTTGAATACAAGGACATTATTCTGAGACACCTGAATTATAATCCTGGCTTACAGTGTTTACTAGTTATATACCACTGATTTTAAAAAAGGAGAACAAAAGTACCCTTGAATTTCTTCTTCTATAAGATGAGAAGTCAGCTTAGGTATGCTCTAGTTCTCATAGAGTAAGCAGGTAAGCTTTAAGTGCTGAATTCCATCAATAATTTAATAGCATGACTGACCTTTAGACCTTAATTTGTCATGCAAGAAGAGTAGAAAGAACTGCCCTATTGGGCATAGCAAAAATTATATTTGTTCATTTATGGTAGGATCCATAAATGAACATTGCTTATATTAGATATAACATGAATGCCATATTATAAGTTTTCCATGTTATTACTGTTAGTGGATCTGTTGTGTCTTTTTATTTAAAACAACATATTTCTCCTTTGTGACCCTCCAAAAAGGAAACATGATTTGACTTGTATTCATAATAAAATCTAATATAGTGAATAGCGTACTTTCTTGGAAGTTTTAAGATATCTGCAAATGCTTATTTTGCCTGATGTGACTTAGGGAATACTTAGAAAAGAAAAAAGAATTTCATCAATTGAGTGAATGTTCTAAAACCTTTGGGTGAATAATGCGCTGTGTTACATTAATTTAAGTCTAAACAGACTATAACTCTGATTTAAATATTAGGATTTAGCAATAAATATTTATTTCTTTCATTCAAATTTAGTAGCAACAGTTAATGAGTAAATTGTGTGTCAAGGTATAAGATGTATTTGTAAATTTAATAAATATATCAGGAACAGTTGTGCTTCTGTAACAATACACATTTATTTTAAGGTGTAAAACCAAGAAAAAGAAAGACATTTGGTTTGCCAGGAATAATTAAAAAGGAAAAGGATGCAGAGTCTGTGTAAGTATATTAAATATTGTTAAAGTCCTTTCTGTTGTTGTAAGTAATTAAAATACTGTTTTGAATTTGAAAAAGGAAAGTTTCTTTTGAAAATAACTCAAATTATATATGTCTGAGGGCTGAAAAATACAAACTTTCCTAAATACATTTGCCAGCTTCTCTGGCTTTACTTAAAAGTATTCACTTATTTTAAAATTTTAAGATGAAAGCTTTAGTGTCTTAAAGTGGAAACTTTTAAGATACTCTGTAAGATAATATGCATATTTTAAAATGTTAAAAACATGGGAAAACTAAAAATTTTTCTAAGTCTTGATGTGCAAGAAAAACCCACAGTCAACAATTGGATGAAAGTCCTTCTAGGCAACTCTAACCATGCAGGGACATAGTGTTTATGTTATAGGCTACTCGACTTACAGTGGGGTTACCTCCTGATAAACCTGTCATAACAGAAAATACAGGAAGTCGAAAATGCTTTTAGTACAGCTACCAAACATCACGACTTAGCCTTAAATGTGCTCAGAATACAGTATCCAGAGACACTAGCAACATAGTACAGATGTTCCCTGACTTAACGGTGGTTCAACTTACAGTTTTTCCATTTTACAATGATGTGACGGTGGTAGTCATTCAGTAGAAATTTGACTCTGAATTTTGAATTTTTATCCTTTTGCCAGCTAGAGATGTGCAGTATAACATTCTGTCGTGATGTCAGGCTGTGGCAGCCAGCTGCAGCTCCCAGTTAGTCCTTAGATCATGAGATTAAATAACTGGTACTCAATAGTGTACAGTGATGCCAGTGTTTTTTAGATATATTGTTTTGTGTTTCTGCATCCTATCATGTCTACAAAAATGCCCATCTGTGTCTCCTGCCTCTGGTGAGAAGAAGAAGGTAAATACTCTTGAGATGAAACTCAAGATAATTTCCCAATCGAAAGCTAATGTGAGTGTCTGAGCACATTTAAAGTAGGCTAGGTTAAGTAAGCTACTGCATTCAGTAGCCTATTGTATTAAATGCATTTTCATCTTACATTATTTTCAACTTACAATGGATTTATTGGGACACAACCCCATCATGAATCAAGGAGTATCTGTACACTATAGGGTATCAGTCAAAGAGTATCAAGTTGGACTATCTGTATGCCTAAGTGGAAAATGTTAAATGTGGGAGGGAAAAAAGCAATAACATGTTTGAACATTTATACTAGCCATCATTTTTAGATGGAGGATGGAGTGTACATTTGATTTACCTTTTTCGAAAATAGGAAAGTAGTATGCAAAGAATATATAATTTATCATGAAAGAATTTCAACTAGTATTAGGTAAGTGAGGTTTTGCTAGCTTGACTACATATTAGAACTACCTGGGAAATTAAAATAAACACATCTATGCCATATCCTATCTCAGACCAATTCATATTCTTGGGCAAGAGGCCCCAGCATAATTTCTGTTTTGTTTTGTTTAAAGCAGCCTGTGTGATTGTAAAATACATCTGGTGTTAACAGTCATTGAGCTGTTTGTCCAGAGACAAACTGGAATTAAGAATTTTTTCTTTTCATAATTACTCTACCCATTTGGATCGAAGAGACACTAAGTAAATGTCTTAAAGTGATTCATTGACCGGGCTGAAAATTTGTTCAAAATCTGTACTTCTCTAACATAATCAAAACTCTCATGAGATTTAATATTTTGGTGAGTACTTATTTGTACTCTCTTGTATTTGCACAAGAGAACAATTTGTGCTTTGGGTGTTTTTGCCTGCTACTTAGTTATATAGTCTTATCTGAGTTTCTCAGAATTTCTACCATTCTAAATGTCTGTTTCCTCCCCTCTCCCAAGTGGTGTATTTGGTTAACAAATTAAGACCAGTTGCAAAGTGATTTATATCTATAGTTACCATCTATTCTGCAAATATCTTTTTTGAGCATCTATGAAGTATTTTGCTAAGGGGAATGGAACCTCATTTCTTTTTATAACATTGGAAATACATTTGGAAATCTAAACAGTTGATTTGTAAGTAAGTTTTTAATGCACCAGTTCATCTGTTAGTGACTATATTATAAAAAGAAATGGCTGTAAATGAAATATTTTTATAATATATATTTTTCACAGCAGTTCATTCATTATATAAAAAGATTTATAATATTTATATATATGTATTTTCAAATAATTTTTCATGATGAGTAATTTCCCAATGTGATCATTAGGCCATTTGGATATTGGAATATTTTTACTAATGGGAATGCTAGGGCAGAAAATTATTCTTAAACCACTTCACCGTGATTTCCTTCTTTCAGCACTTCCTGGCAGGAAAAAAAAAAATGTTAGAATTTACTTTGCTTAAAATGCCTAAGGCTCTCGACAAACTTCCTCTCATAGCCTGAAGGCTTTTGAAATGCTAGCAGCTGTAGAAGAGGTGTCCTGCTTAGAGTATGCTCTTCTGGGGGCTTTATCTGCAGGTCTCATAGAGCCCACTGTGTGAAGGCAAACAGACAAGTATTTCAACGCAAAGACTCAAGAGTTCTGGCTTAAAGCCAGAGAATAAACTGGAACTTTTACACTTGCTTTTATTTTTAAACTGTATCTTTTTAAAAAGGTAGAAAGTAGAAATGTTCTAACATCTTAATTGATTTGATTCTGTAGAATGAGTGAATTTATTATTACAGTACCTTTTCTGGTAGAACATTTTCTCGGAGTACCGTGTTTTGCCACATATAATGTGCTTCCGTGGATAATGTGCCCCCCATGTTTTTGTGCACATTATACACAGGATTATTATGCCCATGGTATGTAATCACTATACCCAGGTATAAGGAGCATCCTTACTTTTCCCTCAAAAATTTAATGCAAAAAAAGTGTGCATTACACACAGCAAAATGTTGTACATAGGTTTTTATTATCTACCAATAATAAGGAAGCTCTTTCAAAAGTATGATTTTAAGTAAATAGAAAGATATATGGGATTTGCATTTACCTTGACCTTTTGGTGATTCAGTTGGATTAAAAGCAGTGCAGTCATCTCACTCTTTTTTCATTTCTTCAGTCTATTCCATTCTATTTTCCTATAACAAAATTCTTCAATTTGTAGACTCTCCTGGTTTGTGTTTTAGTCTTTGGGTAGATGGAGATTACTTGTCTATCCTAGATATTAATTTAGTGCTTTTTATTGTTAATTGGCTCTTAGGGTGAGTATAAAGCCTATATTTTCAGTCTGTTAAAGTGCCACATTTTCACATAATGTGCATTATCAGCCTCAAGCTAAAGATTATGTAACTAGTCCAAATGCCTTTTAAATATGCACTCTAAGTTTTTGTAAATTTGTTTTAAAATGTATACATAGAAATTATTCTAACCTTATTTTTTGTGGTTTCAGGGTCTTTAATTTCACATTTTTAGGTCTTTATTTGGTTTATTGAGAAGGTTGGTTATTATGGTTTAGTTTTACAATTAAAATAAGTTTTTACTAATTTACATTATATCCAGTCATATTTACCAGTTAAATGATAAAATACCAGTTCTGAACTACATATTACATTAGACTAGAAAACTATTCCAAATGGAAGTCTAAGTACTCATTTAACAAATTTGGAGGAAAGTGGGCCTGATTTTGCCCTGATCTGTGTGGCTTGGTTGGAATTCGTCTTGCAAAGCGAAAAAGGTCTGTGGTTCACTTCCCAGTTAGGGCAAAAAGCCTGGTTTGTAGGTTCAGTCTCCAGTCAGGTTGCATCCATGTTTGTTTCCCTCTCTTTCTCCTTCCTTTCGCTCCTCTCTGAAAATAAGTAAATAAAATCTTTTTTTAAAAGGTGGTTTTGATTTTTATATAGACTAGCTTATAGAAAGTAGTACACTTTAAACTTCAGTTTTGAAAGTATAGACATTTTTAAAAGTTTTGGAAATTTCTGTAGAAATGTTATTTACCAAGCCAGGCTTTCTTCTCTGAAGGAAACTTTTTTACACTTTGTCTCCTTGAAGAATTAAAGGTCACTAGACATCCTTGTAAGACTAACAGCTTCCTTGATAAGATTCATGTGTGCATTCATGGGAATACTTTAAAAAATACTTGTATTTTATTCGGTCATGTATTATGGGTACAGGAATGCTTTCTTTTGAATTTTAAAATTATTTGGCATATTTTAATCTTTATGAGATGATTTCTCTGAGTATTTTTATAGAGTTTAAATAAAAGTTATGCTTATATACCAAGGTGAATATTTTCAATAAAGTATTATTATCAGACAGTTGTAATAGTTGGCTATTTCTAATACTTTGTTTGTTTTAATAGGGAATGCCCTGATGCAGATTCACTTGTAAGTAGATTTTACTTGGATATAAACAGTTTAAATTAGCCATTTTAATTAGGAAATACCCAACATATTTGGGTTCAGTTGTTTACACATTTTTCCAAGAAAAATACTAATCATGTTATTGTAACTTCATTATTAAAATTATATTACAGATGCACTTCTGGCTTTATACGCCAGTGCTTTCCTGTTAAATAGAAAGTGTTTCTAACTGTCTTTGGCAAGTGGACATTTAACTTTTAAAATTGAGGGAGTGGTGCCACAGCATATTGCTCTTTCTTGGGAAGTATGCCAGATCTCAAATCTGCATACTCTATTGTGAAATGTGGTGCTCTTACTAATTTAGTCTGAGGTCTATTAAAAATAGTACTTTATCTGTTCCCGTATTTATTTAAGAGATTGTCGTTTTAGAAAAAATAACCATTGTTAGTACTTTTCTGTGCTTTTTATTTTGTTTTAAAGAAAATTTGTTTTTATTCCTTCTTTAAATATATTTCTTTGTATATAATTAAAGAAGATATCAAACAGAGCTCTCTGTGGTTACAGCAGAAGAGCAGATTTACCAGGTGGTGTAAGTAGTGCACACATTTTCAGGTTGCTCCTAAACACTGGTCATGTTGCTGAGTGCAGTAGTGAGGCTCTTCATCTCCTCTCCTTACTGGTTTTGCTGACATACTTATTGTTTCTTTTGGTTCCAAAACAGTTTCATCTTTTACAGCATAATGGTAGTACCAAAAAAAAAAAGAACTAGGTATTTTATGAAACGTTGTGTTTTGTATTAAGATAAAATTAGTACTTTGTTTCGTGTTTCAGCTTCAAAATAAGAAAACTATGGTTTGTTAATAAATTTATAGTGAAAATAATGAAATAGTCTCCTAATGAGCTCTGGGAATCATCAGAGTGTTTTTAGAATTAAAACATTTATGTTACCACTTGCCTGTTTTGATATACTTAGTTTATTAATTAATGAAAAAGCCAGCAGATGTGTTTGCCATTTACTTTAACAGTCATGCATTTATTTTATTTTCGAATTAACTATGTATAGCATTTGTTTGATGATTGCAACACTGCATGAAGTCCATTAGTACTTCATGTTTTATTTTATATATACTCTCTAAATAAAACATTTCTTTTTTTTCCAGTTTAAAACCATAGTTTATTTTTAATGTAGCTAGAAATATTCAGTAACTATATATTTTTAAGCAGAAAAAAACTCCTTCACTTTTCCATCTTACAGCATTATTAGCACAAGAAAAGAACATTTTCTTTATAAATGATACTTTATATGAAAATGAAAACATTTTTTAATTTGTGGAACTTAAAAGTCTAAAAGCACAGAACACATTTTCAGAAGACCAATTTTACTTTTACCCATTTATGGTAGTATTTGCAATGTTAAAATGTACTTAGGTAATGTATAGTTAAGTAAATAAAATCAAACAAGGAATTCAAAAGTAGCTGGTCTTGAGTTACTCGTAGTGTACATTAGAAGTTACAGGAGAGAACACATTAACGAAAGAACACTGGCAAGCTCAAACGTTAGGTTATATGCTGAATATTTTTGAAGGTTTAAAAATCATGCTCAATTAGCATACAGTTTTCTCACTTATGTAACATGCATTTCTATCTGCTTGTGTACAGCAAAGGGTCAGAATCTGAAAATCAACTTATGACTTCAGATATGTGCTATTTCAAAAATGTGTTCCATAAAATTTACTTCACTGCTCCTAGCACTGATTCTTCAAATAAGCAAGTACAGAGGGCCTCATCTCTTAAACTGCTTTCAGGTAGAAATCTCGAAATTCCTGGTACAGTGCCAGGACTTAGTCTTATAGAACATAGGAATTTAATACACAACAGAAAATGGGTCATTTTCTTTATGCTAGAGAGGGAAGGAGGGGTGGAAATATGGTTGCAGTATTTAAGAGCTGAAAAGAACAATGAGTCTTTCACAATACCAACACCACTACAATGAAGAACCACCATAGATCTCATCAGTTTTATAATCATGCTCTATCAAAAAGTTAGGTTCCCCTCCATGTATCTCAATTAACTCAAACCTTGTACTCTCTCCAAATACAAACTCTCTTTGTATTTCCTTTTTTTTTAGATTTTATTGATTGATTGATTGATTGATTATGCCATTGCAGTTGTTCTATTCCCCCCCTTCATTCCCCTCCACCCTACCTCCCCGTCCCCATTACCCCCCCTTTAGTTTATGACCATGTGTCTCAAGTCCTTTAGATTCTATATTTCCCATACTATTCTTGCCCCCCATCTATTTTCTATCTACTGTCTATGCTACTTATTTTCTGTACCTTCTCCCCCCTTCTCCTCCTCCCACTCCCCTGTTGCTAACCCTCCATGAGATCTTCATTTCTATGGTTCTGCTCCTGATCTAGCTGTCCTTTTAGGCTTTTGTTTTAGGTGTGGTTATTAATAACTGTGAGTTTGCTGTCTTTTCACTGTTCATATTTTTTATCTTCTTTTTCTTAGGTAAGTCCCTTTAACATTTCATATAATAAGGGCTTGGTGATGATGAACTCCTTGAATTTGATCTTATCTGAGAAGCATTTTATCTGTCCTTCCATTCTAAATGAAAGTTTTGCTGGTTGTAGGTCTTTAGATTTCATGACTAGGAATACCTCTTTCCAGCCCCTTCTTGCCTGTAAGGTCTCTTTTGAGAAATCTGCTGACAGTCTGATGGGGACTCCTTTGTAGGTGACTGTCCCCTTAGCTCTTGCTGCTTCTAGAATTCTCTCCTTCATTTTAATCTTGGCTAATGTAATGATGATGTGCCTTGGTGTGTTTCTTCCTGGGTCCACCTTCTTTGGGACTCTCTGAGCTTCCTGGATTTCCTGGAAGTCTATTTCCTTTGCCAGATTGGGGAAATTCTCCTTTATTATTTGTTCAAATAAGTTTTCCACTGGTGGCTGTGCCTTTCCCCCTTCTGGTACCCCTATAATTCGGATGTTGGAGCGTTTAAAGATGTCCTGGAGGTTCCTAAGCCTCTCCTCATTTCTTTGAATTCTTGTTTCTTGACTCTTTTCTGTTTGGCCATTATTTGCTTTCTTCTGGTCCACTCCATTGATTTGCGTCCCAGTATCCTTTTCATTGCTATTGGTGTGCTGTGCAATTCCATTCATTTCAATTAGTTTCGCCTTCATATATTTGTCTAATTTGTGGCTATAATCAACCAGTTCTGTGAGGATCGTGATGACCAGTGTTTTAAACTGTGCATCTGAGAGTTTTGCTATTTCTTCATCACTTAGATCTATGGGCTCTGGGGCTTTGAGATATTCTTGCGACATTTTTGGTCTGTTCTGGCCCTTTAAGTGTGAGAAGCGGCGCCTTGGACTCCCAAGTCGCTGGGTTGTGATGCTGTATGTGGGGGCGTGGTCAGAGCGGGGAAATGGCCGCACCCTCTGCTGTTTCGAGCCGCTGGGTGACGAGCAGAGCCTCAGGTGGTTCACCAGGGCTGGGCCACTCAGAGTCACTGGGTTATGACACTGTATGTGGAGGTGGGGTCAGAGCAGGGAAATGGCGGCGCCCTCCACTGCCGCTTGCCGCGGGACCTGCTGGGTCCCGGTCCAATCGCCCACTCCCTCGCCTGTCCACCCGCGCACAAATGCGCGACCACAGTCAACCCGCAGCCCTGCTCCCTCGCTGTTTCCCCACGGTCGGTCGCTCACTCAGTCACTTGCTCGGTCTCTCACTAGGTCCAACCCTGCACCTGGGTTCCGAGCACCTGAGTCCGTCTGACCGAGTTTTCCTGTGCTACCCTGCTCTGCCAGCTGCTGGTTTCGCCCCTCTTACCGGTCAGGCTGAAGAATTTGTTGTTATAAGACTTCTGAAAAGTTCAATTTTCTGTGTTCTGGATGTGTTTTCTGTTGCTAATATTCAGTTGTCTCTAAACTTGGTTGTGTGAGAAGGCACAGTGTCTCCACCTATGCCTCCATCTTGGCGGAAGTCTCCTGTATTCCCTAAATAGACAACTAAACATCAGAGGAAATTACTCCTTTCAACATCTTTTGATATGGTAAAATTTCCCTGGAAGTAGAAATCTAATATTTAAATATGAAATTTCTTAGCCAAGTAGAAAACTACAGCTGTTATGTGTATTACCCTACATAGTCATTATATGCATTATATATTAAGTTAAACCCAGCATTAAATATGCTTGCACAATTATACTGTGAATGATAGCAGTGATGATGCCAGTGAAATAGGACTATCTTCTGGTCAAAGAGTAAGGGCGGAAAACATAAAAACAAGTAGAAAGCTGACAAATAGTTGAGTATTTTCTGACCAGAAAAAGCAATTTTAAACATAGAAGTGTAAAAAGAAAAGTATTTCCTTATTTCCCCTTTGTGGAAATAATACAAAACATTTATTATTTATTTTATGTATCAGACAACATAGCTAAGTAGTACAACTCTACTGCAGCATTGTAAAAGTCATCCCTTCAGCACAGTGTAAGATGCATCTTAAATGCATCTCCACAGTTTAAATGCATCTGCACAAGGGTACGTGTTATTTAAAATGTAGTAAGGTTGCTGCTGCCCTACCAGGTACTTCCAGTCCCTACCCAGGTCCTACTGCAATACTGGTGGTCCCAGTAGTTTTATTGAAATAAATCATTTTTAAAAAAATAAAGCATTTAAAAAGAGAAACCAAAATGCCTCAGTAACTATAATATTCAACTCAAACTACCTATCTAAGTGTTACATTTACCTCCCACTAATAAATCTTTATTTCACTCAAACTGGGCAATAAATCTTTCATACTGAAGTATCTTTTGCCCAATTAATTCAAAGGAAAACACCAAAATGATTAGTAAAGAAAAGTGTAGTGTTTAACACACCCTTTTAATTTGTTTTTAAATATTTTTAAGATTTAAAAGTGTTTAAACTTTATAATTCCCAGTAGGAAAACATTATCTGAAAGAATACCGTAATGGCAAATCACTGTCACATGTTACAGCTGCATGTGGGGCAGAGGGGTAGGGATTCTCTTCAACACACCCCAGCTTTCTTCACGAGAAGGTCAGAGGTGCACTGGTTTGTATTATTGCGACATCCATTGAGTGATCCAAGTTCCTTTTCCTTCAGCAAGGGCTTTATCTGTCAGAAGGGTATTACGCTTGACTCCAAATTTGGCTGACAATTTACTGATTAGATTCATAACCTTTGGGTTGCTCTGATATTTTGACATATTTGCCGGGTTCTGAGCCACATCCTGGAAGGCCACCATAACTTCTGGATCCTGCATGGATGCAGGAAACTCTGGATCACTGAGAATTTCATTGAGCCCAGGCATTCCTGCCATTCCAGGCATTCCTCCAGGGAAATTACCAGGCATTCCCCCAGGAAAGCCACCTGGAAAAGAGCCATACTGAGCTCCTGATTGTCATCTGGCTTCTTCTTCCCTCTGGGCTCTCTCGTGTTCTTCCCTAGCCTTCTTAACCCTTTCCATTCTTTCTTTGATCTCTCACTCTTCAGGTTTCCGCTCATACTTTCTCCGTTGTTCTACAATTTTCTGGGCCCTTGGTTGAACTTCTTTCAGCATTGCACTAGCATCTTTATCGTAATCCAATTTACATGCAAGGACAAGATCATGGGCTGCTTCTCCCCAGTGGCCCAGAAGCCTCTGTGCTTTCCCTCGCCATTTATAAGGCTGAGCTGCATCAGGGTTTATTTCAATAGCTCTGTCACAATCTCTGATGGCAGCATTTGGCTTCTGTAATTTGATGAAGACACTGGGTCTCTTAGCATGCAGAATGGCCAAGCGAGGATTCAGCTTGATGGCATCTGTGAACAAGTCAATGGCTTTCTGTAGCTCACCATCATTTAGGGCATCAATGGCAGCCACTTTTTTCTCATTTGCCTGATCCATCATCTCCTCGGTTATCTCTACATTTTCATCCCCCATTTCCTGAGGGGCATCAGTGTCTGCTTCAATCACACCCTCATTGTCAATTTCTAGATCACTTTCCTCACTTGACAGTTCGTCTGTCTTTATGTCTTCCTCCTCCACCTTCTTACTATCTACTTTTTCTTCCTTATTTTCTTCTGATTTGGCTTTATGAGTAGCAGGTGGTATTTTACCTCCCATGCTCTCCACCCACTCCCTCAGGAAGCGCATTTCCTCAGTATGCAGAATGCTGGGATCCTGCCTACACATTTTCATGAAGACCCGAAGCTGCCGAAGCTCACTCACTTTGCGGGGATCCATTCTGGGAAGTGGCAGGGCGCAGCACATGAGACTAAGATTGCTAATTTGGCGTGACCATGTAGAAGGGGGCGGCTGCCATGAGGCAGAACAAACTAGAACCTCTAAATAAAACATTTCTAATGCTCTCAGCTCATTTGATACTATTCTATAATGACAAGTATGAACCAATTTTTAACTTCAGTCAGTATGTATCTGGAATTAGAAAAGGGCTTCTAAAAAATTCTTATGCCATGTAAGAAATGATTAATAAATTTATGCAGAAATAAAAAACTTATAAAATTAGAAAAATATCCCATAAAAGATTTGACTAACTAAAGATGAATTGGCAGAGAGTGTTTACAAGACATGTGACAAGGGGCTAATTACCTTCTATCATAAAGTTTTTACACAAATCAGTATAAAAGGTAAGCAGACACCCTGTAGGAAAAGAACAATTAAAAACAGGCACTTTTCATAAAAAGAAACAAAAATAGTATCTAAACATAAGAAATGTTCAAAATAGTCTCATTCTGATGCAAATTAGAATGAAAATCCTGTGTTCCAAAAGTAGAAATACTCTCCCATAATTACAAGGGCAAACTTAGGGAACTGTATTTCTTGGAAGTCGCTCCATATCAGACCATAAAAATGTTTTTCTTTTCTAATAGCTCTATACTACTGTATTTTTTGTATATATCATAGTTTATTTAACTATACTTGGATATTTAGGTACTTTCCCATAATTTTGAGTTACTGATAATCTTCAGTGAATAATTTTGTTGTGTACATATTTTTAAATTGTTGAGGGTGTATTTGGGGGGTAAATTCCTTGAAGTGGAATTCCAGGGTGGAAGAGGTAAACACATACATATTTTTTTAGAGATTGTTAAATTTCTCTCTGGAGGGATTGTACTGCAGTAAGTCCTCAGTCTTATTGATAGGTTCTGTGACTTCAAGTGAAACTTTGTATAACTAAACCATTTTTACCATAAGCTAGCTAATTGATATAAACAAGAATTAGGTTCCTGTGGCATCTAGTCAATGTTATATATATAACAAAACTAACTTATTCAAGGACCTGTGGTATTTTGTATTTACACCAGCAAAGTGTAAGAGTACATTTCCCCACAGCTTTGCCCACATAGGGTATTTTCAAGCTTTTGAATTTTTGCCAGTCTCAGGAGTAAAAGTAGTGTTTTAGTGTAGTTTTAACTTTCTAGGTAGTTTTTATTTCTACTTTTTGTGTTTTTAAAAAATATTTTATTTATTCTTTTAGAGAGGGGGGAAGGGAGGGTGAAAGAAAAGGAAAGAAACATCAGTGTGTGGTTGCCTCTCATGCACCCCCTACTGGGGACCTGGCCTGCAACCTGGGCATTTGCCCTGACTGGGAATCGAACTGGCAATCCTTTACTTCACAGTCCAGTGCTCAATCTTCTGAGGCACACCAGCCAGGGCTGTTTTTTGTGTTTTTGTATATATCTTATTTATTTCCATTTACTTAAGCTGTCTTCTGATATCATCACCTCTTTTCTACAGACACACAAAGTCTTGTGCTTTTTTTTTTAAGTATATTTTATTGGTTATTTTATTACAGTTGTCCCAATATTTCCTCCTTTGCCCCCCTCCACCTGGTACCTTCCCTCCAGCAATCCCCCCCCAGTTCATGTCCATGGGTCATGCATATGAGTTCTTTAGCTTCTCCATTTCCTTTACTGTTCTTAACATCTCCCTATTTTGTACCTACCAATTATGCTTCTTAATCCCTGTATCTTTTCTCCTATTGTCCCCCTTCCCCCTCCCCACTGGTAACCCCATGTGATTTCTTTTTTTAAAATCATCTTTGTATAGGAAGAACTGCATATTTATTTATAGGTTGTATTATTTGTGTGATCTTCATTTCTGTGATTCTGTTCTAGTTGTTTGTTTTTGTTTTTTTAGATTCAGTTGTTGATAGTTATGAGTTTGTTGTCATTTTAATGTTCATAGTTTTGATGGACTAACATTTCATATAACAATGGCTTGGTGATGATGAACTCCTTTAGCTTTGCCTTATCTGGGAAGCACTTTATCTGCCCTTCCATTCTAAATGATAACTTAGATGAATAGAGTAATCTAGATTATAGTTCCTTGCTTTTCATCACTTTGAATACTTTTTGCCAGTCCCTTCTAGACTGCAGAGTTTCTTTTGAGAAATCAGCTGATAGTCTTATGGGAACTCCCTTTTTAGGAAACTCCTTTTCTCTTGCTGCTTTTGAGATTCTCTCTATCTTTAACCTTTGGACTTTTAATTATGATGTGTCTTGGTGTGTTCCTCTTTGGATCCAACTTGCTTGGTACTCTCTCTGCTTCCTGGACTTTTATGTCTATTACCTTCACCAAATCAGGGATGCTTTCTTTCATTATTTTTTCAAGTAAGTTTTCAGTTTCTTGCTTTTCCTCTTGTTATTCTGGTATCCCTATGATTTGGGTATTGGCACTTTTGGAGATGTCCTAGAGTCTTTCTATTCTCTCCTCATTTTTTTGAAATCTTGTTTTTTCATTCTGTTCTGGTCGATTGTTTATTTCTTCCCCATGTTCCAAATAGTTGATTTGAACTCTGGCTTTCTTCTCTTCATCATTAGTTTCCTGTGGATTTTTCTTTATTTCTCTTAGTGTAGCCTTCATTTCTTCCCTTATGCTTTCGCCATATTCAGTGAGTTCTTTGAGCATCCTTATCACCAGTGTTTTGAATTCTGCGCCTGATAGGTTGGCTACCTCCATTTTGCTTAGTTCTTTTTCTGGGGTTTTGTTCTTTCATTTAGGCCATATTTGTCTCCTCAATTTGGCAGCCTCCCTGTATTTGTTTCTGTGTATTAAGTAGAGCCGCTTTGACTTCCTATCTTAGTGTACCTGTTAAGTTGTATGGGGTGAACCTTAGGTATTTGCCGGGGCAGGGCAACCTGCTTCACTGCTTTGTGGCTCTGTATGTGGGGGAAGGGTTGGAGAGGGAACAATGATGCTGAGACTTGCTCAGCTCCCACCCCGTTTCCAGTCATTTCACCACCACTCCCACCTTCCTGTATGTGACTGGCACCCTTCTAGCTGCCCCATTGGTGGTTCCCAGAGTGGGTGGGTTTGCATTCGTTTTAGGACCATGCAGGCCCTTTAAATGGCCTCTCCCAAGAAACCTGTAGTTTCTTCTGCCACCCTGATCCCCACTGGTTTTTACAGCCAGAAGTTATGAGGCTTTATTTTCCTGGCACTGGAAACCTGGACTGTGTAGTTTGGCCTGGGGCTGGGGTCACTTACTCTCAAGGCATCCCTCCCAATGTTATCTACCACACATGAATGTGGGACTAGTGGTTCTACTAGCCACCTTGCTGTTATTACGCCGCATCCTCTTCTCCCGGGCTCTCCCTCTCCAGCCCTCCTACCCATCTGGATGAATATGGCCTCTTTAAATCTTTGGTTGTCAGACTTTTATAGAGTTTGATTTTCTGGTAGTTTTGGGTGTTTTTTGTTTTGAGGTTATTTGTGATCCTTTTTGTGGTTGTGCAAGGAAGCAAAGTATGTCTGCATATGCCTCCATCTTGAACAGAAGTCTCATGCTTTTTTTTTTTAAACTGTAAAAATTTGATTGTCTACAGAACTGCTGGCATTTCACATGAACACCTATTCTGTACCTTTCAATGTTCCTTCTGTTTTATTTTGAAATGCTTTTCTATTACAAACTTCGGAAAAATGGAATGTGATTTGAAGCTAAGTAACTAAAAGATATAATTTCCCCACAGTGTTGAGATTGTGTTAACCTATTGACATTTGATAAATGATATAGCCCATCAGTAATAGTTAAGGTTTAATTATATTTTTGTAGGTTGGAACCATCATTACAGTAAAGTTTTCTTTTTCTTCTTCTTCCCATAGAACATTCCTGATGTAGATGAAGAAGGCTATAGTATAAAACCAGAAGCAAATCAGAATGATATCCTTTTATCATCTGAATATTCTTACGGATTGTGTTGTCATATAAGTAGACAGTTAAAATACTCTATTATTTTAAGGTTTTCAGGTTTTTTATTAATTATCATAAAATAATGCCATATCCTTTATTTGACATGTTTTTATTTTAAAAAGTTAGTAGTTATATTTCTGTTAAAAGTCTGTCTTATCTCTTGAAGGTTTTTGTTAACTTTTTATAAATGTGTGAAAAAATGGTTATGCATTAAGACAATTTAAAAACTAAATTTTTTAACTGATACTCACATACCAAAGAGAACCATTTCTACTCATCTAGTGATTCTGATTCTGAAGATGAAGAACCAAAGAAGTATCGGATAGAAATCAAACCTATGCATCCAAATAACTCACATCATACAATGGCTTCCTTGGATGAATTAAAAGTGTCTATAGGAAATATAACACTCTCTCCAGCAATATCTGTAAGTAAGAAAATGAGCAAGTTTGAACTTCTTACATAGAAGTCTTTTTTTTTTAACATCATTTTTTTTTAATTTAATTTATCTTTTTAGAAGGGAAGAGAAGGAGAGAAATATCAATGTATGGTTGCTTCTGGTGCATCCCCTGCTGGGAACTGGCCTGCAACCCAGGCATGTGCCCTGACGGGGAATCGAACTGCAATCTTTTTGTTCGCAGGCCCGTGCTCAATCCACTGAGCTACACCAGCCAGGGCACAGAAGTCTTTTAAAAATACCATGACTACTTGCATCTGCTTAATTTTCAGAATAAAAAAAAAAAGTGAAACATCACTTAACAATAGTTAAGCATGTTGGATAATGAAATATTTATATTTTTTAATTCAGCTTTATTGAGGTATATAGTTTATAATTTTTATACAGGCAAATGAACTTGTGAGTTTGGCTTAGTTTTGCTTTCTTTTGAAAATGTGTTACAAAAGGGGCAAAAGAAAATCTGTTTCTACTACTCTATTCTACAAATAGTGGTATATGACTCAGGCAGAATTTTGTGAAGTGGCAGTATTAATCTTTTCCTTATCGAATTTTTAAGTTTTTGTCTATGTTTTATGAACTTTACGTAGAAGGGAATTCTATAAAAATGAATTTAAAGATGAAATGATATCTTTGCATTTTTTTTGTCTGTCAGTGTAACATTTGTTTTTGTATACTTTTCATAGAAGGACAGGGAAAGGTAAGAATTCTTGGTTATAGTGATTGATTTCTCATTTTTGAGATATTATACTTAATATTTTTGAGGGAGTGAAAAAATCATACTATATCTTTCCATTGATGTTACAGTCTAAATTCAAAATTGTTAAACTCTGGGGGAAGAAAGTATGTCTTAGAATGATATTTAGTATGTCAGTACATGTTCACAATTGATATAAAACCTGTTCTCCTTGATAATAGAAAATAAAAGTTCTCACTATTTCATATTGTCATTTGATTATATATTTTAAGTAGTGTCTGTGTATGTGTTTGGATAAATTTTTTTTTCTCCCACTCATTCAGTTTTAAAATTTTATTTTAGAATTTTTTTCCACCAAAAAGGCAGATATCTGAAGTGAGGTTTTATTCTACCATTACTAGTTAACATTAAGATTAAATTGTGAGGTTAAATTATGGTATATAAATATATGAAGTAGAAAGTTGTGAAACTATTAAAAATACTTATTGTCTAAGAGCATTACTAATTTAAAATATATATGTAAATTTTAAAAACCTAGAGGTATATACATCAAAATGTTAAGCAATAATCTCTGCATGATTAATCTCTGATGGATGTAAATTTTTCTTTCGTGCTCTTCTTTTATATTTATTTTAAAAAACAACATGTATTTATTTCAGTCTCAGAACAAAATAGTTACCATGAAATTATTCATCGTTAATACTGGGTTTGTAAAGAGGACGTCATGAATGTATTTTATTGTCCAGTTGCTTATCTGGCTTCAGTGATCTCCCCCAGCAGTGTGTCTTAGTACAGTGTGTAGATGGTAGGTGTGACTCAAAAGGGAGTAGACACATTACTAGAACTGAAAAGTATGATATTTTATCTATTTATGTGAGAGAAAAGTGGGAAATACGATATTTTAAAATCTAAAAAATCACTATTTCTTTTCTTTTTCCATGTACTGCTAGAGACACAGCCCAGTAAGTGCAACATTTTGTATTTTTATCTATTGACCTTAAAAAATTGTAATGTTTGAACATTGATTTTCAAAATATTTGCATTAAATATTATAAATTAGCAAATCATTGTAAGTCATTTTAGATATTTAATAGTTTAATATTTAAAAACATTTCACTGAATATTAAAAGTACATGTATTTTTTTTAAGTATAAAAACTACTAAAAGTTTTTTCTGTATATCTTTATGTAACTGCAGTTCACAATTGAGCAGATTTACTAAATGTAATTTAAAATTTAGGTTCCTAGTATTAACAGTTTATGAAATATTTCATTACCAGATTCAGTTATTTATTTAATGCTACTTAATTCTTGTATTTCTGTTTTAGGTGCAGATGAATCAGAATTCATCTAGTAAGTTTGACATTTAAATTGGTTACTTTATTACTATTAAAATTTATCAGGCAATTTGCTAAGCTTTTGGCCTTACATATGTAATTATAGAAATAGGATTTTCTCATCATGAGCCTTAACAACAACAGACTAAAAGGATACTTATTTTATAATAGAAGACAAATTATATCACCTCTTTTAGCTTTGAGACATGCCTTAAACCAGGAGTGTTGAACTCATTTTTACCAGGGGCCACATCAGCCTCGTGGTTGTCTTCAGCGGGCCGAAATAATTCTAGGACTATGTAAATATAACTACTCCTTAACTGTTAAGAAGTTGAAATAACATTTGGCCCTTTGAAGGCAACCTCAACACTGATGTGGCCCCTGGTGAAAATGAGTTTGATACCCCTGCCTTAAACTTTAATATCTGAATACTACATCTTTTAGAAATCAGCAAAAACAAAGAGTAGCTTCTGGACTTCCAGCCAAGATGGAGGTGTAGGTAGATACACTGTCTCGCACAACCAAAACAAGGACAACAACAAATTTAAAAACAAAAAACGACCAGAACTGACAAAATCAAAGTGTACAGAAGTCCAACAACCAAGGATTAAAGAAGAAACATTCATCCAGACCGGTAGGAGGGGCGGAGTTGGGCAGCCAGGGGGAGAGGACTTGAGGCAGGGTGGTGGCTGGTGGACCAGGTGAGGCGGTAGCTTGCAGACTGGGCAGCCCCACATTGGTGTGCAGGTAAACCAGGAGGAACAACTGGGGAGCAAGAGAGACCGTGTAAACCAGGGTTCCAGTGCGAGGAAATAAAGCCCTAAACCTCTGACCAAAAATACCTGTGGGGGTTCAGACTGCAACGGGAGAAACTCCCAGCCTCACAGGAGAGTTCATTGGAGAAAAAACAGCAGTTAAGGGTCCTAGACCATACACAAACCCACCCACCTGGGAGTCAGCACCAGAAGGGCCCAATTTGATTGTGGGTAGCAGAGGAAGTGACTGAAAGCCAGCAGAGAGTGGAGGAAGCAGCACTGTTCCCTCTTGGACCCCTCCCCCACATATAGTGTCAACATGCAGCAAAGTGGGTTGCCCCGCCTGGTGAACACTTAAGGCTCCTCTCCTTACTACATAACAGGTACACCAAGACAGCAAAAACATGGCCCAAATGAATAGTTCAAAGCTCCGGAAAAAATACAACGAAGCAGCAAAGAGATAGCCAACCTAACAGATACACAATTCAAAACACTGGTTATCAGGATGCTCCAGGAACTCACTGGGTACTTCAACAGCATGGAAAAGACCAGGCAGCAATGAGGTCGTATTATGTGAATAAAGAAAAATCTACAGCGAACCAACAGTGACAGGAAGGAAACCAGGTCTCAGATCAACAGTTTGGAGCAGAAGGAAGAAAGAAAAATTTAACTAGAACAGCATGAAGGAACAAGAATTCAGAAAAATGAGGAGAGGCTTAGGAACCTCCAGGACATCTTGAAACATTTCCAACATCCAAATCATAGGGGTGCCAAAAAGAGAAGAAGAAAACTAAGAAATTGAAAACTTGTTTGAACAAATAACGAAGGAGAACTTGCCCAATCTGGCAAAGAAAGTAGACTTGCAGGAAGTGTAAGAAGCTTGGAGAGTCCCAAAGAAGTTGGACCTAAGGAGGAACACACCAAAACACATCATAAGGACAGAATCTTAAAAGCAGCAAGAGAAAAGGAGGGAGTTACTTATGAAGGAGTTCCCATCAGACTGTCAGCTGATTTCTGAAAAGAAGCCTTGCAGGCAAGAAGGGGTTGGAAAGAAGTGTTCTAAGTCATGAAAGGCAAGGATCTCCATCCAAGGTGGCTCATCCAGCAAAGCTATTAGAATGGAAGGGCAGACGAAGTGCTTCTCAGATAAGGTCAGATTCAAGGAGTTCATCATCACCAAGCCCTCATTATATGAAATGTTAAAGGAAGGGTCTTATCTAAGAAAAAGAAGATAAAAAATATGAACACTAAAATGACAACAAACTCACAGCTATTAACAACCAGACCTAAAAAAAAAACTCAAAAAACTAAGCTAAAAAAAACAAAAACAAACTAAGCTAACAACTAGAACAAGAACAGATTCACAGAAATAGAAATCACATAGAGGGTTATCAGCGGGGAGCAGGAATGGGGGGAAATGCTACCGAGAATAAGTAGCAGAAATGGTAAGTAGAGATAGACAGGGGGAGGTTAAGAATAGTATAGGAATTGTAAAAGCTAAAGAACCTATATGTACAACCCTTGGCTATGAACTAAGGCGGGGAGAATGCTGGTGAGGGAGAGGTGCAGTGCAAAGGAGTAAAAGGGAAATGGGACAACTGTAATAGCATAATCAAAATATATTAAAAATAAATAAGACCCATTAAATTTACTAAATATCAAACAAAATGCAGTATTTTACTTTTGAAGAAGAAATGGTGAGTAGATTGATAGAGGATATGAGGAAAATGAGGATAAAAGGGGGCCATCAACTTACAGAAATGAGGGCAAAATGCAAAAAGATGGAGGACAACAGCCCAATAAACACTTAGAGGAAAATGCTGAACTGAGCCAAATGGGAGAATGTGGTGTGGAATGGGCATCATGTACAGTGCGGCATTCCTCCTTTGTTGCAGTTACCCATATATTGGTGTATTTTGTGTTCATCAGCCATTGCTCGGGGATGCAAAACATTGAGCTGTAGGGAAAATTGCTTATGAACCAGCATGACCTTTGCATTACTGATGCCTTTCCCTTGTGTACTAGTTGCTTATGAAATGATTCATCTCACAAATGCAAAAGAGACTATTATATAGAGACTGTTGCTATAGGTTTTACAAATTGTAATTTTTTAAAGTAGGATCCTTCAGGAGTTGGTAATTACTTTTGGTCAATATAATAATCACTAATAATCTTAGAATTTGAAAAACGTTTTCATGATTCATCAGTTAAAAGTCTTGAGTGATAACTTACATAAGTACTTAAACATTTGTCCTAATTTTTAAAGTTGCAGCCCGTACTTTTCTCTTTTGAACAGCCATTTTATTTTAATAAATATGAGAAGTTAGTTGATTCGACTTAACGTTTCTCACCACAGACGTTAGATGAAATATTTAGCAGAATTTCAGCTATTTTAATATTCTTCACAATAGAAAACTTGTTAAAAGTTTATTTTTCTTATTTTCACATTTGTTTAAATTGTATTTGTTACTAATTCCAGAATTTTTAAATTGCTTATAGTAATGAGGTAATTTTTAATTAGGTGAAGAGTTAACAAAATCGAAACCATCTGCTGCATCTAATGAGTAAGTCCCATGTTTAAATTTTTTTAACAACTACTTAATTTTTTTAGAGCAATTTTAGGTTCACTGCAAAATTGAGTGGAAGGTACAGAGTTTTTGTGTATACTGTGTATACTCTGTCCCTGCATACGCTCAGCCTCCCCCACTGTAGTAGCGCATTTGTTGTAATCAATAAACCTAATGGACACATCATTATTGCCCAGGTCCATGGTTTACACTAGGATTTACTCTAGGTGTTAAACATCATGTGAGTTTTGACAAATGAATAGTGATATGTCCACCATTATAGTTTTATACAGAATGGTTTGCCCTAAAATTCCTTATTTCCTCCACCTTTTTATTCTTCCTCCCCACTACCTTTAAATTTGAAGTATCCTTTGTCCTGTTTTCTAGAGTTTTATTATCTCTGCAGTTTCAGTTCCAGTAGGATGTTGTGAATTATCCTGTTTCTTAAGCTGTCAGGTGTCCTGTGGAGTTTTTCATTGCTTATTTGATAATATTTCTTTTTTCTTTTTTATAACAAATTTTTTTAATTTCATTCAATTGTATTTGGCCTTGATGGCCTCACTGCTTCTAGATAAATGATAGTATTCCAAGTTTATACATGTCTGTATTTCAACTGGTTATTCTCATGGAAATTTTCTCACTTTTTCCCTTCAATTTTGGCTGTGACCTTATAAAATAGACTGTATACTTCTTGAGCTTCAAAATGAGGAACTGACTCAAGTTGGAGAGGGCTAGAAAGCAGCCCATCTGTTAAAAGAAAAAACATTTTAAGCCAATATTGCATGGGTCCTTTTTCATTCTGTATCTATCAAGAATACTTTCTTTTAATGTTCTTGCATAAGTAAAAGTAGGCTTAATTAATGAATAGTTAATTAATGGGTAGTTTAAAATTATTTGATAGTTTTCAAGCTAGGCATGAATTGAATATAGTGGTGGTATTCAATTGACTTACCATTTCTAAAGGTAAGTTGTAGAATGTTTTAAAACTAGGAATCATTTGTGCAATTGTAATTCTGGCTATGTTTTATCATGCAAAATGTTGTGTGTCCTTGTAGATGCATGTTGAGATAATAGCTGTATTGCCTGTGGATCATTGTAACATTTTTATTACCTAATGTGTCTGTTTTCTAAGATTTTGAAAAAATACTTAAAGAAAATAATGGCAGTTTGATACTTTAAAACAGGGATCCCCAACCCCCTGGTCATGAACCAGTACTGGTCTGTGGTCTGTTAGGAATGAGGCCACACAGCAGGAAGTGAGCAGTGGGCTAGCCAGTGAAGTTTTGCTGGAATTACTGCCTGAGCTCCACCCCATTTTGTGACCCCCCCAGCTGCTGTCCCCGTCCTGAGTCAGTGGAAAAATTGTCTTCCATAAAGCCAGTCCCTGGTGCTAAAAAGGTTAGGACCACTGCTTTAAAATATTGTTTTAATAGGGATTTTATTTCTGTTTTTACACCTTAATTTTAATTTGTCAAGTATACATCAGTAAAGCTAGGAAAAATAATTTTAAAAAGAGGTGCTTCAGGATCTAGAGATTATATTCATATAAATGTAAAGAGCCAGAAGTTGAATCCAGAGAGTAACTAGTACAGTGGATTTTAAGAGGTCCGTGGAAGAAAATCATTGGTATGCATTATGGTGAGTTTTTTTGAAACTAGAATGTTGATCCCCTTGATGATTTTGTCCATAGTCTTTGTTATATCTCTTTAAAAGGCATGTCTGACCCAGATATTTCACCAGACTGCCTTATTGGCTCAGGCAGTGAATTAACCAGGGAGCTCGCTGAGATAATTACAGCATCTGCTGCAGTAAGCAGATCTGTGAAGTTTATATTAACTTGCTGGGCTTACTTGTGTACATGAGAAGTACTTTTAAAAAACCCTTTACACTCTTTCTTTGAAAATAAGAATTACTTTATAAATTTTCTATCTGATTTCACAATACTTAACACCTGAAATGTAGAATTAAGTAGCTGTGTGTTCTTAGGCAGCTCATGTAGAGACTCTGCTTATTTTCATTTGAAAATGAATAAAGCTGAAATCATTATTTCTATTCTGACAGCCCCTAGGATTGTTAAGAATGACAAGGTGTGATAAGTGGGGATTTCTCTTCTGTCCTCTCTCTCCTGCCACCTTCATACAATGCTATTGTAGATTTCTACTTAAAGTGGTTAAAAAATACTGGTTTATTAAATTTGTCAAGTTTCTTCATGTATTCCATTCACAAAACATCAAACTTTTTTTAAACATTAAACTTTTTAATCATATATGTTGAGCTATTATAATTCTGTGAAATAATAAGTGACTAGATTTTATACTAATAAAATGTTCCTTTATTAAAACCCTTATTTTTAAAACACTATGGAAGGAAAGGAACCAGTGATTTACTTGCATGGGACCCTCTGTTTGGACCATCTCTTGATTCATCATCTTCAGCTTCACTGGCTTCATCATCATCATCAGGTAAATATATGTATATTTGCATATATAGTTTAAACTGAGAAATTTAGTAGTTACTTTTTCTAGTTGATTTACTCATTGCTTATTGTTGTACTTAATAATCAAAATTTTATTAAACTTGTCTTCTGATCATACTGCCAAATAACAGTAATTTTACACAGCTGGTTTTATTAACTTAGTTTAAATACCTTATGGCTTATCAGACATCAGCAGGGTGGTTTTTTTAAAATAAATTTATTTCTAAGCATTTATATATTTATTTCTAAGCCGTATCGATGCCTAAATAACCTTGATGTGTATAGATAAAATTCAGTTGTATAGATGTGCATTAATGTAACCAGTGCTTTTTTGCTGGACATTTATGTTACATCTCATTTTCTAATATTATGAACATTCATGAATATAACAAATTTTGCACATGTCTTATCCTTTTTTGTAAAGATTTATTTATTTATTTTTGGAGAGAGGGGAAGAGAGGGAGAGAAACATCAATGTGTGGTAGCCTTCCACACACCCTCAACTGGGGACTTGGCATATGAATCCAGGCATGTGCCCCGACTGGGAATCAAACTGGTAGCCCATTGGTTTGCATGTTGGCACTCAGTCCACTGAGCCACACCAGCCAGGGCTCATAATATCCTTCTAATAATTCATCAGTATAAGATTTAAGGGTCAGAAGATACATTCATTGATGCTTATTGCCAGACTGCTTTCCAGAAAGGTTTTAGCACTTCCCAAACAGTCACTAAAAGGAGTTGATGAATACTTTTAAATTGTTTTGGCAAGAGTATGTTAAGTTTCTCTTATCCTCAAAATATAAATTCTCATTTGCCAGCACTCAAAGCAGACATCAGAAACACATGTTTAATAAAAACTGCTGCTTGTTCAAAGTAAGAAAATAAAATGATTTTTTTAATCAACTTTCTTGGGGATTTTAGAAACTCAGAGATTGTCAGGAACTTGTCTAAAATCATGTGACTAGGAAATAATGAAGCATAAATTCAAATCTAGATATTACCAATTCTGAAATCTTTTGTATTCTGGCAGATTAACAAAAACAATAAGCCTTGTTGAAAGATTTTACTATTAATAATAAAATGAAGACTGGTATTTAAAATTAGACTGTTTAGAAAGTAATATTTTAAAAGTGATTTTAATTGTATTTTAGGCAACCTTAACCTGAAACAACCTGTAATTTTGAAGGGAAAGTACGTGGTCAGTATCTAATACTTGTAAAGCAGCAGAAGTAGTCAATAGATAGTTGAACATATTCACAATTGTCATCATAGCTTTTCTCAATGAGCATTTGTTAGTAATTAGTTTTATAAAAATAACCTTACCAATAGGAAGTATAAGGAAAGTACAATTGTAGAGGAAAAGCTGAAGTTGTCCTTAAGTCTCTTTTTTGTTTGGTAAGAATGTCAGAATGGTGTTTTGTATGTAGAATGAAGAGGGTCCAAAACAATGTTTTTTCAGTTTTGTTAATATTCTTTTATGAGTTATTTTTTCAAATCTTTAATAAAAAATTTTACATTGGTGTCATAGAGGCTTTAGTTGTGTTTGTAACTCTACCCTTTGTTTCTCATTTTCTTTAGCACAGTCTCTTTATTTTCAAGAAAGCATTCTCTTTTCCTCTTGCTACCTGTCTAAAGAATGTTTTACCCATATCACTTTCAATTCAGGTAAAAAAAGTGGTATATTTTTCATTCAGTGGTCATTTGCTGTTTAGTAGCTAGGATATGATAAAATATTTGTTACACTTTTGCTAGTTTTAAAATTCACTTTGGTATGCATTTTTAACCTTTCTCTCGAGTCTGTTAATGCATTTTTAACCTTCCTCTACAGTCTGAAAAATAATGCCATAAATTATTTTGCCCTTCAAAGAATATTAGTGATGTTGAAAGAGATAATTATTGTTACACAGTAATTAATAGCTCTATCAGAGAGCACAAATAAGTTTTCTTTTGCTTCATGGTTGCAAAATCAGTGGCTTTCCTTTACTGATGAACTCGTCACAGGTTCATGTCTCCATAGGAGCTCAGACAGCATTCCAGAGATCATACTGGGAAGCCAAAAATACCTTCGGGTTTCCTGATGCTTTGGTTGAGAGATCTCCCAAAAGCTGCATCTCTGAGGATCAGAGTGGCCTTGGCCATAATATCTCATGCTCTTAAAAATTAATGACAGAAGAAGCTAACGAGTGCTGATTTTTCTTCTGCATCATTATCATTGCTTCTGGAGTCTTGATTAGTATGTTTTTTTGTTGTTGTTTAGATAAAGAATGGTGTGGGAAACAGGCCTAGCTATTCTCCCTAGACATTGTCAGAGGGCGGATGTAGATCAGTTCTTATCTGTGTTTTTATACTTTACAAGCCACTTTTTATTTCCTCATATATTGCATCTAATAGACATTTCTTGGAAGTGAGCTCCAATGTCAACATCACTACTACAAAAAATCCCACACTATTAAAATACTTAAGGTTATAAATAATTGTAATAATCTCCTTCAAAGTCTTCTGAAAGCAGTACCTAATTGGCATATGCAGATAGATTCATTTATAATATATATACTTATTGTTAATAGATTAATCTATAATTAATAGATTCATTTATAAAGAGTTTTATTAGCTTTCCCCAAACAGCAATTTCTGATTATTTGAACTTAACACTTCTACTAGTCTTGGTTTTGAGTCAGTCTGTCAGTTGGAAAGGCCACTTGATTGACCAATAATGAAGTTAAAGAGTAAATGTCTGTTGTGTTAGGCTCTCTCAACAAGTTTGAAATGGCCGGAGTATTGGTCAGTGCTGGTTGCATTGATAATGAACACATCTTCAAAGTAAATGTGTCACATAGCACAGGTAAGAGAGATGGTCCTCTGGCTGGCGCACATCTCTTCTAGTGTGCAGCTTAAGAACAGCATGAAAGGACTGCTGCCGACTGCACAAGGGCGGCAGCCTTAGAAACCAAACTGGATTTCTTACAGCCTTCTTCTGTTTTCTTCAAGTAACCTAAAAGTTACTTACATCTTTTCTCCTTCCATATGGTATGCTTTCTAAATGATTCCAAAACCCCCATGGCATTTACTTTCACTCCTGTGCCAACTACCTTTTTTCTTTAGGTTGCTTCTTTCCACCTCCATGTTCTTTTTCATACTTCCAATCCTCCCTTGCTGACCAAGGGTCCTCAGCTTTATTACCTCTTGTTTCCCCATGTATATACTTAGGCCCACTTATATATTTTTAACTTTACACATCTGTAAACTTACAAAATTTAACTGAAATATATTTCTTCTCTTTCTTATTATATTCTTCAGTTTCTGAATTATGTGACTTCTGATGCTGTACATTTGAATTCCACTCATTAATTTCCATGATGATGAAAATTATTTTTAAATATATTTTACTGATTATGCCATTAGAGTTGTCCCATTCCCCCTTTCATTCCCCTCCACCCTGCACACCCCCTCCCACCCACATTCCCCCACTTTAGTTCATGGCCATGTGTCCTAAGTTCTTTAGCTTCTGCATTTCCCACAATGCTCTTGCCCTCCTCCTGTCTGTTTTCTCCCTATCATCGATGCTGCTTGTTCTCTGTGCCTTCTCCCCCCTTCTCCTTCTCCTCCTCCCACTCCTCTGTTGCTAACCCTTCATGTGATCTCCATTTCTGTGGCTCTGCTCCTGATCTAGCTGTCTACTTAGCTTGCTCTTGTTTTAGGTGTGGTTCTTAATAACTGTGAGTTTGCTGTCCTTTCACTGTTCATCTTTTTTTATCTTCTTTTTCTTAAGTCCCTTTAACATTTGATATAGTAAGGGCTTGGTGATGACGAGCTCCTTGAACTTGACCTTATCTGAGAAGCACTTTATCTGCCCTTCCATCCTAAATGAAAGCTTTGCTGGATAGAGCAATTTTAGATGTAGGTCCTTGCCTTTCATGACTTGGAATACTTCTTTGCAGCCCCTGGCCTGTAAGGTCTCTTGAGAAATCAGCTGACAGTCTGATGGGAACGCCTTTGTAGGTGACTGTCTCCTTATCTCTTGCTGCTTCTAGGATTCTCTCCTTCATTTTAATCTTGGCTAATGTAATTATGATGTGCCTTGGTGTGTTCCTCCTTGGGTCCAACTTCTTTGGGACTCTGAACTTCCTGGACTTCATGGAAGTCTATTGCCTTTGCCAGGTTGGGGAAGTTCTCCTTCATTATTTGTTCAAGTAAGTTTTCCACTTGTTGCTTTTCCTCCTCTGGTACTTCGATAATTTGGATGTTGGAACATTTAAAGATGTCCTGGAGGTTCCTAAGCCTCTCCTCTTTTTTTTTTTCTTTAATTCTTGTTTCTTCGTTCTTTTCTGTTTGGTTGTTTCTTTCTTCCTTCTGGTCCGCTCCATTGATTTGAGTCCCATTTTCTTTCCATCAGTATTGGTTCCCTGTGCATTTTCCTTTATTTCATTTAGTGTAGCCTGAATTTTTTCATCTAATTTGTGACCAAAATCAACCAGTTCAGTGAGCATCCTGATCACCAGTGGTTTGAACTGTGCATCTGATAGGTCAGCTATCTCTTGGTCGCTTAAAAGTATTGGCTCTGTTCTTCCATTTGAGCCATAATTTTTTGGTCCGGTCGTGCCTGTTATGTAGTGAAGGGTGGAGCCTTAGGTGTTCACCAGGGTGGGGCAACCCAGTAGCTGGGTCCTGATGCTGTGTATGGGGGCAGGATCAGAGAGGGGGCAGTGGCACTTGTTCTACTCTCTCTTGGATTTCAGTCTCCTCCACCACTTCCCACAAGCAAATTGGGCTCTTCTAGTGCTAGTTCTTGGGTGGGTGGGCTTGTGTACATTCTAGAACCCTGTGGGTCTCTCCAACGAACTCTCCTGTGAGGCCGGGAGCCTTTTCCAGCACCTTCACCCCCGCAAGTTTTTTTCAGTTGGTGCCTTTAGTTTATTTCCGGTCACTGGGGCCCTGGGTTCCACTGTCTTATTCCCCATTTTCGCCTGGTTTATCTGCCCTCGAATGTGTGACCATGATCAGCCAGCCGCTCTGCATGCCTCACTGGGTTTGCTCATTTTCTCCCAATGCCTGTGTCTGCCAACCACCACTTTTTCCTGCTGTGACCCCTCTCTGCAGGCAGCTGACTCCACCCCTCTTACCGGTCGGGTTAATGGTTCATTGCTGTTGGACTTCTGTACAATTCGATTTTCTGTCTGTTCTGGTTGTGTTTTTGTTTCTAAATCTTTGTTGTCCTTAAATTTGGTTGTGCGAGGAGGCAGTGTTTCCACCTATGCTTCCATCTTGGCCAGAAGTCCTATTGTAAGATTCCATGAGAATTATTTTTGATTAGGGATACTGAGCATTAGTATTTCTGATTTATTAAATTGCAAAATTTGCAACTGGTGTTGAACAACAGTGAACATTAAATTTATATAGGATTTAAGGAAAGTTAATATACTATTTTCAACACTTAGCAAAAATGAGTTAGTGCAAGGGAAATTCCTTTAGTAAAGATGATTTTAATTCTTTTATCACAAAAAATGTTACAATGTGGTTCAAAAAAGTCAAATTACAGTTTTAATTAAGGTAAGTTTTATTTAGAGTTCATGTTCCTGTTTTGAAGGTGGTGTTTTGAAGGCTCAGTCTCACATATCTGTCTATAAAGTAGGTGTATGGGCAGTAAACTAAAGACCTTAGGCGTTAAATTGTCTATACAAGCTAACTTATCAGATTTAATTTTTATATGTATAAATAAATGAAACAGGGAGACAATGTATCTGTGTCTGTTTTATTGAAAATTTAATGATTTTTTTCCAGGACTATTATTGGTAGCTTCAAGAAAAGTTTGATAGGTTCCTAGTATTTCACCAAATATCTATAATTACATTTTTAAGAAACTCCTGAAAAATAAGATTTGAATCCTAACAGTTCCTCTATAATAGAATGTCTTTATGTGTAGATTGCTACTTACTAATGATTTTCTTCCAATTTTCCTCCACCAGCCAGGCCCACAACTCCTCTTTCTGTAGGCGCCATTGTCCCACCTCCACGGCCTGCTTCCAGACCAAAGCTTACTTCAGGCAAGCTCAGTGGGATTAATGAAATAGTATGTACTCAGATGTTTCTTCTTTTTAATTATAACTGTTTTAATTTAAGATGCAGGTGATATCTTTCTGTATGTCTCTTTACAGTTATAAGCTTGGAATTTTCTACTCAGTCTTTTTGTTTTCAATATATTTTTTCTTTTATTGATTATGCCATTACATTTGTTCTATTCCCCCCATTCTCCTCCACCCTTCACACCCCTCCCCCATCATTCCCCCCTTTAGTTCATGAACGTGTCTCAAGTTCTTTAGATTCTATATTTCCCCTACTATTCTTACCCTCCCCCCATCTATCTTCTATCTACTGTCTATGCTACTTATTTTCTGTACCTTCTCCTTCTCTCACTCCCCTGTTGCTAACCCTCCATGTGATCTTCATTTCTATGGTTCACTCCTGATCTAGCTGTCCTCTTAGTTTGCTTTTGTTTTAGGTGTGGTTGTTAATAACTGTGAGTTTGCTGTCCTTTCACTGTTCATGTTTTTTTAACTTCTTTTTCTTGGGTAAGTCCCTTTAACATTTCATATGATAAGGGCTTGGTGGTGATGAACTCACTGAATTTGACCTTATCTGAGAAGCACTTTATCTGTCCTTCCATTCTAAATGAAAGTTTTGCTGGATAGAGCAATCTTGGTTGTAGGTCTTTAGATTTCATGACTTGGAATACCTCTTTCCAGCCCCTTCTTGCCTGTAAGGTCTCTTTTGAGAAATCTGCTGACAGTCTGATGGGAACTCTTTTGTAGGTGACTATCCCTTTATCTCTTGCTGCTTCTAGGATTCTCTCCTTCATTTTAATCTTGGCTAATGTAATGATGATGTGCCTTGGTGCGTTCCTTCTTGGGTCCAACTTCTTTGGGACTCTCTGAGCTTCCTGGATTTCCTGGAAGTCTATTTCCTTTGCCAGAATGGGGAAGTTCTCTTTTATTATTTGTTCAAATAAGGTTTCCACTTGTGACTGTTCCTCGTTCCCTTCTGGTACCCCTATAATTTGGATGTTGGAGCATTTAAAGATGTCCTGGAGGTGCCTAAACCTCTCATTTTTTTTGAATTCTTGTTTCTTCATATTTTTCTGTTTGGTCATTTTTTCCTTCCTTCTGGTCTGCTGCCTTGATTTGAGTCCTAGTTTCCTTTCCATTACTATTGGTTTCCTGTGCATTTCCCTTCATTTCAATTAGTTTAGCCTTCATATGTTCCTCTAATTTGTGACTAAAATCAACTAGTTCTGTGAGCATCCTGATCATCAGTGTTTTGAACTGTGCGTCTGAAAGTTTGGCTATTTCATCACTTAGATTTATTGGCTCTGGGGCTCTGAGTTGTTCTTGAGCCATGTTTTGATCTGTTCATGCCTGTTATGTATGAGGAGAGGCACCTTAGATGTTCACCAGGGTAGGGCTACCGAGGTCCCTGGTTTGTGACGCTGTATGTGGGGGTGGGGTCAAAGAGGGAGCAATGGTGGCCCCCTCTGCTGCTTCATGCCTCTGTGACCTGCGCGGTCCGTCTCACTGCTCGCTCCTTCACTGGTTTATCTGTGCACGAATGTGTGACCTCGATCAGCCCTCAGTGGGTCTGTCCACTTCTCCACACCTGGGATCTGCCCACGGCTGCTGGCGCACCTGGGTCGCACGCCTGGGTTGGTCTGGTGGATCTTTCCTGCCCAACCCCACTCTGCCCCTCTTACCAGTTTGGCTGAAGGGTTCGTTGTTGTCAGACTTCCGTGTAGTTCAGTTTTCTGTGGTTTGGCTGCGTTTTTGTTGCTCAAACTTTGTTGTTTTTAAACTTGGTTGTGCGATAAGGTACAGTCCTTCTACCTACACTCCATCTTGGCAGAAGTCTTTAGATAGTGATGTTCTAAAACAAGAGGAAACCACTTGAGAAAAAAGCTATTGTTGCCTTTCCCTAAAAAATTGTAAGAGGCACATTCTAAATTGTAGGTTGTAAAAATGCAGCCACATTACATTGGTCATGAGGCCATGTTGTCACAGGATAAATGTCCCCTACAGTAGTTGATTTCAAGACTTTTTTCCAAACTTGTTAGTTTCAAATCAACTGTTGAATTTACTATTTATTTGGCTTCATATCTTGCACTACCCCAATCAGTCTGTATACATACATAACTGCATTTTTACACTTTGCTATAGTTTCTCAACTTATTTCTTATGATAATGAGTCATCAAAAAGCCATTTTCTGGAACTAAGTTTAAAAATAGTTAAGTGGGGTTGGGGGGTTACCAATTGTAAAACACTTTGGGCATTACTTTCTAATTTTAATAAGTTTACATCTGTAAATTTGTATTTATGCAGTCAAGAGTTGACTCATTTTAGCATGCGAATGTTTATAGAGTTTTGTTTTTGCCTTTTGTTTTTTAAGTCCCTCAACTGAGGACAGGAATAATGTCTCATTCACTGCTTTGGATCTAGTACCTAACCCATGGCCTGATACATAGTAGGCACTGAGTTAATACTGTATTTATTTATTTCTTTTATAAACAGGAAAAGGTTATTTTTAAGTAAGCCAAATATACCTAAATGTGTTAAATAGGAAAATATGGAAATTTGTAAACACCAGAAGTAAAAAAGCAAGCAGTATTCAGGGAGAAAATATTTGTAGCAAATAAAGGGTTAGTAAAAGTTCAGGTAATGCTATGTTCTCCCAAAACTAAATCAGACAAAGCTAATACATACAACTGATAAAAGGGAAAATGGCTATTTTATTTTTATCTAACAAATTGGCTAAAAGTCATAATGTTTTTTGTCTATCTTATAAGGCCCATCCATTCATTGCTGACGAGGATACAAAGAAACATTTTCTTTTTTCTTTCTTTTTTTTTTTTTTTTAAGATTTTATTTATTTATTTTTAGAGGAGAAGGGAAGGAGAGAAATATCAGTGTATGGTTGCCTCTCGTGTGTACCCTGCTGGGAACTGGCCCACAACCCAGGCATGTGCCCTGACTGGCAATCGAACCACGGTCCTCTGGTTCGCAGGCCCATGCTCAGTCCACTGAGCTGCATCAGCTAGGGCTATTTTCTTGTATTTTTAAGCAGTAAAGTCAATAACCTTTTTGGGAAGCAATTTGGCTCTAAGTGTGGAAAGCCTTCATACTGTTTAAATTAATTATTTAACTTTTGAGAACGTATCTTAAGCATACTTTTTGATACACAGGAAATTATTTATGTACAAAGATTTTCTTGACAGCACTGTCTTAAAATAAACTTTTTATATTTTCTCAAAAATTATTCGACCTGTGGCATCTCTAACTTTGAGGTATAAGAAACTCACATAAGTAAATTTGTTTTAGTGTATTAAAGTGAAATTTACCTAATACCTAATAATCTCTTTCTGATAAAGGAGGAATTGTTTCACTGTTTTGATAAATAAATTTTTGTTTTTAAGCCCAGGCCATTCAGCCCACCTGTAAGTTCCAACACCAGCCCACCTCCTGCTGCTCCATTAGCTCGGGCAGAAAGTTCTTCCTCTATCTCATCATCTGCTTCATTAAGTGCTGCCAATACTCCAACAGTAGGTAAGGAATTACTGTCAATTACATGTGCAAGTTAGCATCCAAAGTTCAATCAGACTGGGGTTTTGTTGTTTGTTTGTTTTTAATGGGCTGGTGATGAATTTAACATTAGAATTTTGGGGTTTCTACAAACATCCGGCATTATCAAAGTAGACACATTTTCCTTTCCTTATTCAATTCATATTATCTAAGTAGGAGAATTTTAACCATGTTCAGCACTGTTAAGAACACATCAAATTTCCCCAAAACTAATAAAAATAACATTGAATATAAACTGTAATTGTAAAAAAAGAATGCATCAAATTAATGAACTATGGACCAATATAAATACTGTAGTTGAAGGCAAAATATAATGCAGCCCTTTCTGCTATGCACTGGTATTTTCATTCTTAAGAAAGTTTGTATTTGAAAAACAATTGATTCAATGGAAAAAGGGGTTTTTATGCTTACAGTGAATTATTTTTCTACAAGAATTTAAATCACAAAGATTAAAAAAATATTAAGGCATAGCTATACAAATCTAAATGTCACTGAACAGCTTCAGTATTACATCTGGATTTTGCTCAAGAGTTTTTTCTGTCATCACCTTTATCCAATTTTTCCTGTAAATTCTTACTACAGTACCTTTCTCCCCCATTGTTAGTATGATAAACAAAACACAAAGCCACTTAAATAAAGCAGCTGTGTTTTGAGAGCAACAAAACACAAAATTTTGACCGTCCCTATTGCCTTTGCTTCTAAGTAATGATGGATTGATCCTTGATAATGCACATCACTGGTAGGTACTAACTGAACATAATTCAGTAGTGCTCCAAGTGTAGTCCTTGGGCCTGCAGCATCTGTTTGCATCACCTGGTAACTTACTAGAGATATAACCTTTGAAATCAGAATCACTGGGAGTGGGGCTAGCAATCCTTGAACAGGCCTTACAAGTAATTCTGATGCATGCTAAGTTTGAGAATCATAGCACTAAGTGAGTTGATTTAATTATTATCTAACTTGATTTGTCAGAACTCACAGGGAGGAAATGCGTCTTGTGTCTGTGGCCTTTGTAAAAGTGGATTAAGTAATATAGGCTAAAATGAGATTAAAAAATGACTTTCTAAATGTTCAAACATGTTATTTTATATACTGTTGTGAGCATAGCATTTTTCCCATTTTTAACTTTATGTAAACACCATATCTCTAATAAATTTGTCTTTTTGTCTGTTGTGACAGCAATTCATATTTTTGTATAGTGGTTTTTGTTAATTTTTTCTGCAGAATTTACAGTTTAGTCATAAAATATATAGATGGGTCCTATTAGAAATCAGGCACGAGGTCTAAACAGAAATTAGCTTTAGTTCTCCATTTTCTGTAGATGAGTCAGGTTTTCTGTTTGTGATGGAAACTTTAATATTGATTAAGTTGGTACCTAAGTTTTTAGTTTGAGCTACTGTGGGCAATAGAACCACAAATAGGTGCCTCTGATGAGGAAGGTGGCGGGATATATGTGGATTTTGTACAACAAAGTTTCTTTAAATCCACCTAAAAGATTTTTTCTTTGCTGTGATGCTTATTCAGCTCTTTGTTTAGATGTAAATTTTTGAGTCTGTTTCTTGAAAGTATTTTTTTCTGCAATATTTTGTTTTATTTAAATATGATAGAAGATGATAATTTGATTGGGACACTCTCTGAAATTGAAAAGCACTGTGAGACTCCACAAGGTATTTATCAAAGCAAATGTATGTGTTAACTAATGATCCTAAAATGTATCTAAAATACTTTGTTATCTACATTTTCCTTTTCTAGCAATGTGTGGTGTCTCAGAAATCAAGATTAACTCTAAGGTTTAACTCTTTCAATTTTGTACTAATTATGTACAGTTGCTACATAGAATAAAGCATCAGATCCCCAACTGTAAAAACACAATATTTTTGCATTATCTTTCATCTCTCTGCTCTTCTCTCAACATTGAGAAATACCAATAAATCTTAACTCAAACGATTTAAGAGTTCCAACTCTTTTCTGTTGGAACCAGAAAAAAATGATTATAAAAGAAGCAGAATATTGTCAGATAAGACATCTTTTTCTTCACACCTCCTTAGCAAAGTGTCTGGCATATACTAGTGGCTAGTAAATGACTCTTGTGATTTTGGGAATAAAATTGTGTATTAGTGGGTTTTTAATTTTCACCTAAAATTTATTGGGTTTTTAATTTCCCCCTAAAATTTTCAGTTGTCTTGGGTTTTTAATGTTCCCCTAAGATTTTCAGTTGTCTTGTTTGGTTGTGGGGTTACTTTTCCCAGTGGTGTAGTAGCAGCAGTTCTTGTTCCCATGTATTTGTAATTACTGAGCTATTTTTCTAACTGGAAAGAACTTTCTAAGTCAAAATTTCTTCAAACTGTCGAATACCACAAAATCTTCCTGGTCTCCAAAACTAACAAAAGGTCTTTCTTTCTGTTTGTAGAATTTCAGGTGTAGTTGTGAGGCAGAGAAAGCCAGTACTGAGTTATGTCCGAATTAATCCTTTAAGTATAACAGAAGTAACTCAGTCCGTCACTGAGTTAATCAGTCACCTCTGAAATAAAAATATCTGATGGTTATGAACATTGTGCAACGTTTATGTAAACAAAAGTATAAAGTCAAATTTCAGAACTACTTGTTGATGTAGGTTATTCATTTTTAAAATAAGAATGAATAATTATTGCTACTTACTTATTCTTATAAATTTCATCACATATTATATATTAAATGAAGGCATAAATGGCAAAGGGGCATTCATGGAAAGAAAGGAAGGCAGTGAACAATTTTGAGGGATTTTTCTTCTATAAGATAAACCAGATACTTTTAGTTTACATTAAAAAAAACTTGAACACATGCATAAACTTTGCTTATATTTTATTATGCTTTTAAAAGACTGTGCTTTTATTATGAATTTACTCAAAGTATCTGAGTGACTTTATGTAAGGAGTGTTATAAAAAATGATTGTTAGTAGTTACATTTATCAAGACAAGGTAAAATGGGATTATAATACAGATATTAGAGAAAGAAGAGGTAAAAAGAGAATTACATATAACAAATAGAAAAATCCAGTTCAATGCCCTGATGTTTGCAATTGGTAGAACTTGAAAGAATTTAGTATCTGATTTTTGATGCCATAGTTTAGTAATTTTAATTCTTCAGGTGAAGGGCTTTTTCCTTGACATTCCATAACCCAACCTTTCTGTGTCACTACATTTAAAAGAAAAAGTCATTGTGACATTTTCTGATTTTCTGTCCTTTGTATTATTTTAGGCTGTATTTTTAACCTCCAGGTTTTACTTGGGGGGTATCATTGAAATCAGTACTAGAGTTGTTTGTGACAGACTAACCTTGTTACTATACCTGTCTTGGTATTTAATACATGTTTTTCAGTAGGAACTTAACAAATAAATTGTATGTACTCTAGGTGTGTCACGAGGTCCCAGCCCTGTCAGCCTTGGAAATCAGGACACCTTACCTGTGGCAGTCGCCCTTACAGAATCTGTTAATGCCTACTTTAAAGGAGCAGATCCTACCAAGTGAGTTTTTAAAAAATACAAATGTGTGTATGTGTTGGAGGGGTGGAGGGGCTTGGTGGTAAATTTTAAGAGTTATGTTTGATTCTGTATAGGTTAGAGTTTACCTGCTTTTTGCTTTCAAATATAGTCAGTTAAGGATTGTCTTTCAAATTTAAAAAATCACTGTAATCAGCAGTATAAATAATTGGATTTTCCCCCCAGTTTATTTACATTCTTGCCCAGGCTTTGATCCATATGACACATCTGTAAAGCAGGAAGATGTTTTAGGCTGGGATAGAACTCTGAATCTTGACCTAATGTATATGTTTTGTAAAAGTCTGACATTAGCAAGAGAGGCCTAGAATGCATGTTTAATAGCTGAAAGTCTTGTAGGATTGATTTAACCCCTACTTTTCATGCAACATTATTCATTCAATCTACATTCATTCTTCAAATATTTGAGTGCCTTACTATGTGTAAGACTGTTGTAAATTTGCATTATCATGAGAGAAAGTTTCATCTTAATTTTTCTTAGTTTAATAACTGGGTTTCTAAAAATAGATTTGTTTCTTTGATTATTAGTTTTCTCTCACAGTACTGTGAGCTAAGAGAGAAGAACTTTGTTTACTAAAGTATCCTCAGCACTTAAAACAGTCTTACACGTAATATTTGATGACTGAATGTACATGGAATGAATAATGAAAAGTTAGGGGTATTGATATATATGTGAAAGAAAATAAACCAGGGTAAGGGGATGGAGAATTACAATGGAGGGCTACTGTTCTAGATAGAATGATCAAAGAAACCTTTTTAAACAGATGTTTGAAAGACATTGAGGAGTAAGTGATGCAGCTGAGAGGAGAGCATTCCATTGAGTGTAAGGAACTGAGGTAGAAGCATGGTTGGCATATTTAAGAAATAGCAGGGAGAACCATGTTACTGAGTGGACATAAGCAAGGAGGAGACTAGTCAAAGTCCTGTAGAGGGACTAATTCAGGTTGGGCATCACAGACCATAAGGAGTTTGGATTTTTTTTTTTTTTTTTTTTTTTGAGTGAGGTGGCAAGCCAGTGGAGGCTTTTGAGCAGGGGAGTGATGAGGTTACTTGCAGTTTTGAAGTGGCATGTGGCTTCTGTATGGAGAATAACCCTGGAGGGAGCCAGGCTAGATGCAGAGTTAACTACAGACGTCTAGGTCAGACATGATGGTGGCTTCTCTGTGGGTATTAGCAGATGAGATGGTAAATGGTAATAGGATTCTGAATATGTTTAGAAAACAGTTGTAAATATTTAACGAATGGGTAGGCTAAGTTTGAAGTGCTTACTAAGACAACTTAGAGATATTGAGTTGATCATTGAATGCATGATTCTGGAGTTCAGGGCATAGATTCAGGTTAGAAATAAAATATCTACTATATTTCTTGGACTGTAAGACACACCCCCCAAATTTGGGAGGAAAATGCGGGTGCCTCTTATAGTCCAAATGTAGCTTACTTGGCCTGCTGTGGGGGCAGGAGCTTGGGGTCAGAGGAGGCAGGAGCCTCCAATTTTTTTTCCTACTCTAAAACCTAGGTGCATCTTATAGAACGAAAAATACAGTAGTTGTCATTAATTTGGGTATAATACTGAAAGCTAGGGGCCTTAGAGAGTAGAGGAGCTATCTGATGAGAACTAAGTCCCAGTCTCCTCCAGTGTTTAGACAACAGGAAGATGAGAATGATCCAGCAAAGGCATTTGAGATAGCATGCAACGAGAGAGGTGAGGAGAGAACCAGTAGACCAGTGTCCCAGAAACGAAGTGAATAAACTCTTTCATGAAAGAAGGTTCATGAAACTATATCTGATGCCACTAACAGGTCAAGAAACATGGACCATTGACAGTTTGGAGGTCATTGTTGACCTTTACGAAAGCAATTTTAGCGGAGTAGTAGAGATGACATCCTGTTCACAGGAAGTGCAGGAGCAGGACATGATGTAAATAATAGGCAACTATATTTGAAGAGAGTAAATGTAGACAGCTCTTTCAGGATGTTTTGCTCTAAGTGGAAGCAGAAAAATGGGGTAGTAGTAGAAGAGAGATGATAGAAGCAGGAGAGGTTTTTAAAAGCAAAATGTATATAGATACAGAGTCAGTTGGATTAGGAATTCTGTACTGACAGAATGAGAGGTTCTTCTCTGATTTTATTTCCTCAGTAAAATTTAAAGTGTCTGTTAGTAGTGGGAGGGAACATTGCAGGTTAGAGGGAAGAGGTGAAGGTATGAAAAGAGGTAGATAATGTGGTAGAATTGTCAGGTAACAGTAAGGGAATGCAGTCAAGAGGTTTGGCTATATGGTTATGTTTTTCTCTAGTCATGTTCAGCTCTGTAGATGAAGAGCTAAATTTAGCCAAGACTGTGTTGGCAAGCAAATATAATCAAGTGGAAGAGGAGTGAGGGAAGGCTTATGCATATGAGTGTGTATAATAATGGACCGGGAAATGAGGAAAGGAAGGAATGAGTGAAGATTAGTGCAAAAGGTGGTAGGAATACCAAATTGTGGAGGTTTTAATGAAGTTGGAGAAGTGTTGGAAATGCAGTACTAGACAGGAGGAGTTGGAAGAAAAGGAAGTGGTGATGGGGTAAGTGGTGACTGAGATTATGGAGTGGCTGCAGTGTAGCTGAGGTAGACTGGAAGACAGGATCATTAGGGTGAGGTACTAACAAACTAAGTGATCAAAATATTGAAAGGATTATCTGAGTGGATATTGAAATCACTAACAAATTATGATGGTCTGTTTCTGTACCACTACTCCTAACAATGGGCCAGGAGCTATACAAATATGCTCCATGTTCAGAAAATGAAAGGGAGTGTTGAAGATGACTTGAAAGGGATGGGCTAGCAGGTATAGTTAGTTCAGTGGTATGGGTTTCAAAAGAAGCTGGTGGTTTTTAGGAAGGAGGAAGGAATACGGAGTTGGAACAGGCAGTGAGGATGGAGGAGTACATGTACCACCGAATGCCACCCTGAGGCCCAGTACTCTGTGGAGTTTAGGAAACAGGGTTACCTTCCAGGACAGCTGGGGTGATTTCAGTAAACATGCTGGGAGATGTCACCAGTGTCCCTGTGTTTGTGTTTAGTATGCCATTTCACATAGGAATATTTTTTAATAATTAAATTGAAAAAAGTTTTATTCATAATTATATACATAAAGTCTTTTTTAAATAAAATATGCTTTAAATGGAGATGAAAGCATTTAAAAATGTCCAAATCCCCAATTTTCAGGTGTATCGTGAAGATCACTGGTGACATGACAATATCATTTCCAAGCGGAATTATTAAAGTCTTCACTAGCAATCCGTCTCCAGCTGTGCTGTGCTTCAGGGTGAAAAACATCAGCAGACTAGAGCAAATTCTTCCAAATGCACAACTTGTGTTCAGGTTTGTACTTTTCTTTTGAAGGTGAAACTTCTTTTTAAGAATGTTATTTTCTTTTTTGAAGCTCTAATTATTTAATTTGAAGACAATACCAGAATTATTTTTATGATTGAACAGCCTTCTGCTGTCTTTGTTTTGTGTTTGATGGTAGAAGTAATTGCCGCGTCATTAAATTTTTCTCTACTGTCCATCTTCTCTCATCTCTCAGACAAGCTTCTATGATTTATTCTTCATCCCCCAACTTTAGCCTTCCCTCATCCCACCTTTTGGTTCCTTTCCTCTAGTTTTACCCAGATCACCAAATTATTGCACAGAGGCAAAGGAGAAAGGTAAGTCAAGTAGAGTAACAAACTTGTCTCTCACACATGCAGTGACCCATCACAGTGTGATTCGAACACAAAGGATTTCTGGATGAACATGCAGGCTGTTACTGTCTACCTCAAGAAACTGTCGGAGCAAAATCCAGCTGCTTCTTATTATAACGTAGATGTGCTAAAGTATCAGGTAAGTGTCCTATTTTTTTAAAAATCCTAAATTTAAAATACTAATAAAGGGAATATTATACATCATTAGATGAATAATAAATATGTCATGGCCAAGAGAGGTTCATTCAGGAATGCAAGGATATTTCAAAATCAGAAAGATCTATTAATAAGCCTATGGAGATTTTAACCAATTTAATCAAATTCACCATCTATTTCTGATTAAAATACTGAATAAATATAAATACATGCCTGTGTCCTTAACCTGAAAAGACCAGCAGCATCAGCCTTACAATATCTGAAGCAATCAAAATCAGGAATGGCAAAGTCAACCATTATTTCCGTTAGCATGTAAGATTTTTTGTATGTGTTAGCTCAGACAAGAGAATGAAATCATAATAGTACCTGTAATTAGTAATTTATTATATTTCTGGAAAACTCAAAATCGACTGAAAAACTACTTGATATAGAAGAACTTAGTGAAGTGGTCAGTTTAAAAATGCAGCCCTGAATGGCACGGACCAGAAGCATCGTCCTGCTGAGTGAAAAGTTACAGGTTCAATTCCTAGTCAGGGCACATGTCTGGGTTGTGAGCCCAGTCCCTGGTTGGGACACATGAGAAGCAACCAGTCTGTTTCTCTCTCTCTTTCCCCTCTCTAAAAATAAATAAATACAATCTTTTTTATAAGATTAATACAAAAATTAATAGCTTTCACCCTGACTAGTGTGACTTGGTTGGAGTGTTGTCCCACAACTGAACGGTAGCCGGTTTGATCCCTGGTCCAGGTGCCTACGATTCCCGGTCCCAACAGGTACAAAAAGGCAACCAATCAATGTTTTTCTCTTTACTGACTTGAATATAGTTAGGAAAGAATACCTTATTCATTCACAGGAAGACTCAAGTTGTAAAAAAGTTTAGCTCTTTCTAAATTCGTTTATTTAATGTAATATTTATCAGAAACCCAGTACAGGTGTTTACATATGTGTGTTTGGAGACCGTAATTTTTAAGTTCTCCAGAAGAATAAAATAAAATTTAGAATAAGTTAAATGTTTTAAATAGTAATGTGGAGTAATGTTTTAGTTTTAATGGGAAAATTATTATTATAAGGCAACACTATTTAAAATACTTTGCAACTGGCACAAAAGTACATGGCCAGATGAATGGGGGAAAAAATAATAGAGTATCTAGAAACAGATTTAAAAACAAGTGGAAAATTGTTTATATGACAAAGTAACATTTTAAGGCAATGGGGAAATGATGGATTTTCAATAAATGGTGCTGAGGCAGCAGGTTAGAGATTTGGGGAAAATTTAAGCTAAATCCCTAACTTATAACTTTAACCAAAATCAAATCCACATGTATCAAAGGTTTAATAATAAATGAAACCATAAAGAAAAACTGTAGGTGAATATATGTTTATTTATGGACATATGTGAATATAGAAGTATAATATCTATTTATTACAGTTTTTTAAAGATTTTATTTACTTTTAGAGAGGAGAAAGAGAGGGAGAGAAATATCAATGTGTGGTTGCCTCTCACACGTGCCTGCAGCTGGTGTCCTGGCCCACAACCCAGGAATTTGCCCCAACTGGGAATCGAACTGGCAACCCTTTTGTTTACAGGGCAGCATTCAATCTACTTAGCCACACCAGCCAGGGATTTATTACAGTTTTTAATCTTGATGTGTGGAAACCCTTTCTAAGAATGATATGAAACCCAGAAACCATGCAGGGAGAGAGTGAACTATTTGACTAAAGATAAATTTGTGTATAAAATATTTAGTTAAAACAAGCAAACCCTTAACAGAATCAGTATTTAATCTGAAGGAAAAGTATTTGTAATACATAAGTAGACCAAAAGGCTTACTCCAAAGAGCCCTTATAAATTAGTAAGTGAAAGTTGAATAATTCAGTAAACCTCTTACGGGAAAATGCTCCATGTCAGTGGAGATCAGAGCAGTGCATATTTAGACAACAGTGAGGCACTGTTCTAGCCCATCAGATTGACAAAAATAAAAAGACTGACGTATTAAAGAGAAGAGCTGTTGCTGGCCTGATGGTAGTGGGTTACCAGAACTCAACTAAAGTTAGTGCCACTAACGTTGTGATAGAGCCCCCCACTCTGTCTGACTGGCTTTAAAAAATAAATAAATAAAATAATTAAGACTATTTGATAATAGGAGTACAAGTTAATAGAATATCTTAGAAGGCAATTCTATTAGATTGTTGAAAAATGTAATTTTTCAAGATTTTATTTATTTATTTTTAGACAGAGGGGAAGGGAGAGAGAGAAACATCAATATGTGGTTGCCTCTCGTGCACCCCCAACTGGGGATCTGGCCCAAATCCCAAGCATATACCCTAACTGGGAATTGAACTGGCGGCCCTATGGTTCGCAGGCTCAATCCACTGAGCCACATTAGCCAGGGTTGAAAAATGTAACCTTTAATTAAACACCAGTTCCAGGAATCTGTTTTTTAGGGGGGAAATGTAGGGGAGGTAAGTTACAAAGGATATTCACTGCAGCCTGACTACACATTCACAGAGGAAGAGATTGGTTAAATGAATTATTATAACCATTAAAAAAAATGAGACAACTCCAGGTTTGCATATGCCTAAAAAGTCTGGAAGGATATGTACTATTTTGCTACCAGTGAGGAGTAAGAATGCCAAGGGATAAATTTCCTGTTGCATGTACTTCTGTATCGTTCGAATTTTTAGTAGGGTAATTTTATTAAAATGGCTTATGTTTCAACTATGGCCATACCACCCTGAATAGACAGAGGGGAAGGGATCTAAAATAACTTATGTTTCTAGAAAATACTTAAGGAGTAAAAAAGTGCCTCTGCCACTGAAGTTGGCTTAAAATTTATTCCAGGTATTCAGTGCTTGCTAATTGCTGGCAGTTGGATGGGGAGATAGTAAAAAGTATTGTGTGTTGGAAAAGTGTGTAGAGTAAGATAAAAAAAGTTGCATTTTCAATGTAAATTCAGACAGGATGATCAGAGTAGGTCTTAATTGAAAAGGAATCATTTGAGCCAAGGAACTGAAGAATTAGAATTGTAACATTTACTATGGGGTCATGTGATTGAAATCATATTATTTGAAGTTGCAAGTATTCTAATTCCAGGCTTGCAGAACTTAATGATAACTCATCTATTTTTTCTGTTTTAAATCTAAATTCTAATTTTAGGGGGAGAGAGAAACATTGATTTTGTTGTTCCACTTATTTATATTTATGTATTCACTGGTTGATTCTCATATGTGCCCTCGCCAGGGATCAAACCTATAACCTTGGCTGACAGGGATGACACTCTAACCAACTGAGCTTACCCAGCCAGGGCTAAATCTAAATTCTCATAATTCATTTAAAAAACTTAGAATTCTGTGTTGAATGTTGAGAGGTTTTCAAACATTACATGCATAAATAAGAATCATTTCCTAACATAGCTGAATTCTGGGCTCTGTACCTAAGTTGTTGAGTCAGACTTTGCATTTGGAGCCAAGAGAATGTGCATTTTTAAACAAGCACCAGGAAAATTTTGATGTAGGTAATTCCAGGTCCAAACTTTAGGAGTGGCTCCTACTACTTCCTGTTTTACTCTGGCAACAGACAGCTCCCTCATTTATTTTTGATTTTGTGAACTCCTGTGTTCAAGTATGCATGTCACTAACATAACTTCTTTACTTTTCAGGTCAAATAATTGTTTATTTTTCTCTTTAAAGGTATCATCAAATGGTATTCAGTCCACTCCTCTAAATCTTGCAACATATTGGAAATGTAGTGCTAGCACCACAGATCTTAGAGTGGATTATAAGTACAACCCAGAAGCTATGGTGGCACCGAGTGTGCTTTCTAACATACAGGTGGTGGTACCAGTGGATGGCGGCGTCACAAATATGCAGTCCCTTCCCCCTGCAATATGGTAAATTAAGTCGATTTCTGAATTCCTACTGAATTTGTGTTAACCTTCAACTTTTAGAACTTCAGTTATGAAAGTTATGTAAGTTTGAAAAATCTTAGTGCGTTTTCCCATAGAAACCATGCTATAAAAAAGATGTTCATTTTACTAGACAGGCCACATTAGCCTCAATCCAAAATAAATTAACTTTGCTATCATCAACCAGACTTGAATGCTTCAAGACAACTTTACCCTTAGGCAAATTACTTAGCCTCTCTAAACTTTTTTGGTTTTATTTTAAAAAGAAAGATTATAATAATTATTTTCTGGGTTTAATATAACATCTGGCATATCTATAGGAATACCTATCTGATTAGTGTTGGTTACTTTCATTTCTTAACTACCTTCCTTATCCTCTCTATTAATATTAGTATGGACTATAAGTAGTCTTAATATTTATCTCACCATTTAATAAAGTGTGTTTTTCTTGAATAATGAAGGAACTGAGCTTCCTATACATTCAATTTTTCTTTCTCTGACGGAAATGAGAAGAATTAACATAAATTGGTAAAAATTGCATTATTTGAGAAAGATATAATATATTTTATAATCACCAGGTGATACTATTGAAAGTAAATTTAGTACTATAGTTATTTCAGTGAAATATTTAAAATGCATTTATTTATTGAGGGCCTTCCATGTATAAGGTATATAATACTAGCCATTTAATCTGAAAATATATGTTATAGGAATGCAGAACAGATGAGGGCCTTTTGGAAACTATCTGGTGTTTCAGAAAAATCCGAAAATGGAGGTAAGTGTATGCTTTCTTTTTTTTTTTTTAATGTGAGGTCACTGAAAATGGACCTTTGAAGGCATGTCTATGGAAAGTTTTCTCCTGGAATTTCGTGCCTTCAGTTCTAGAATTGACCACTAGGTGGAAGTTAATACCTTAAATAAGAGTGGACCAGTTGAGATTCAGAATGCAGTTTCCCCCTGTAAATTGAGTGTGCTTTCTCTATTTAAAAAAAAAGTGTCTTTTGCTGTAACTTTATAAATGTTATGTAAAAGTTTCTTATGTTCACAGGCTGACATTAAGAGAAAATGCCTAATAAAGTAAATTTAAGAAGTAGAACATTAATTCCAGCCAGGGAACTTAATAATTGAAAGTGATTTAACATACTCTTTGCTCACCAATAAGGGAGTCCTCCTGGCCTCCCAGAGATCATGTAGAAGCTTTCAGACTTTACAAAGCCCCCTTGTGAGGTAAGGACAAAATAAATGGGACATGAAACTAAAGTTTTTATACTTAAGAAGAAATCAAAGAAGAAATCAACAAAACAAAAAGGCGGCCAACTAAGTGGGAGAAGATATTTGCAAACAATATCTCTGTTAAGAGGCTGATATCCAAAATATATAAAGTATTCAAATAACTCATCAACCCAAATCCAAGCATTCCAATTAAAAAATGAACAGAGGACCTGAACAGACACTTCCAAGAAAGCATGCAAATGGCCAACAGATAAATGAAAAGATGCTCAGCTTTACTAGCCTTAAGAGAAATTCAAATCAAGAGACTTCCGCCAAGATGGAGGCATAGGTGGAGATGCTGTGCCTTCTCACACAACCAAGTTTAGAGACAACTAAATAATAGCAACAGAAAACACAGCCAGAACACAGAAAATTGAACTTTTCAGAAGTCTGATAATAACAAATTCTTCAGCCTGACCGGTAAGAGGGGCGAAACCAGCAGCTGGCAGAGCGGGGTAGCACAGGAAAACTTGGGCAGACGGACTCGGGCTCGCGGAATCCAGGCGCAGGGTTGGACCTGGTGGGCAACTCAGCGAGCGACCGCAGGGAAACAGCGATGGGAGCAGGGCTGCGGGTTGACTGTGGTCGCGCATTTGTGCGCGGGTGGACAGGCGAGGGAGTGGGCGATTGGACCGGGACCCAGCAGGTCCCGCGGCAAGCGGCAGTGGAGGGTGCCGCCATTTCCCTGCTCTGACCCCACCTCCACATACAGTGTCATAACCCAGTGACTCTGAGTGGCGCAGCCCTGGTGAACCACCTGAGGCTCTGCTCGTCACCCAGCGGCTCGAAACAGCAGAGGGTGCGGCCATTTCCCCGCTCTGACCACGCCCCCACATACAGCATCACAACCCAGCGACCTGGGAGTCCACACCTCTGCTCCTCACACTTAAAGGGCACGAACAGACCAAAAATGGCTCAAGAAGATCTCAAAGCCCCAGAGCCTATAAATCTAAGCGATGAAGAAATAGCAAAACTCTCAGACGCACAGTTTAAAACACTGGTCATCAGGATCCTCACAGAATTGGTTGATTACAGCCACAAATTAGATATACATATGAAGGCGAAACTAATTGAAATGAATGGAATTACACAGGAAATCAATAGCAATGAAAAGGAAACTGGGACTCAAATCAATGGAGTGGACCAGAAGAAAGCAAATAATGGCCAAACAGAAAAGAGTCAAGAAACAAGAATTCAAAGAAATGAGGAGAGTCTTAGGAACCTCCAGGACATCTTTAAACGCTCTAACATCCGAATTATAGGGGTACCAGAAGGGGGAAAGGCACAGCCACCAGTGGAAAACTTATTTGAACAAATAATAAAGGAGAATTTCCCCAATCTGGCAAAAGCAATAGACTTCCAGGAAGCTCAGAGAGTACCAAAGAAGTTGGACCCAAGAAGGAACACACCAAGGCACATCGTAATTACATTAGCCAAGATTAAAATGAAGGAGAGAATCCTAGAAGCAGCAAGAGCTAAAGGGACAGTCACCTACAAAGGAGTTTCCATCAGACTGTCAGCAGATTTCTCAAAAGAGACCTTACAGGCAAGAAGGGGTGGGAAAGAAGTATTGCAAGTCATGAAATCTAAAGACCTACAACCAAGATTGCTCTATCCAGCAAAACTTTCTTAGAATGGAAGGACAGATAAAGTGCTTCTCAGATAAGGTCAAATTCAAGGAGTTATCACCACCAAGCCCTTATCATATGAAATGTTAAAGGGACTTACCTAAGAAAAAGAAGTTAAAAAAACATGAACAGTGAAAGGACAGCAAACTCACAGTTATTAACAACCACACCTAAAACAAAAGCAAACTAAAAGAACAGCTAGATCAGGAGCGGAACCACAGAAACGGAGATCACATGGAGAGTTAGCAACAGGGGAGTGGGAGGAGGAGAAGGTACAGAAAATAGATGGGGGGGGCAAGAATAGTAGGGGAAATATAGAATCTAAAGAACTTGAGACACATGGTCATAAACTAAAGGGGGGGTAATGGTGGGGACGGGGGTAAGGTGGAGGGGAATGAAGGGGGGAATAGAACAACTGTAATGGCATAATCAATAAAAATAAATTAATTTAAAAGAATTCAAATCAAAAGCACAATGAAATACCACTCTACGCCTGTTAGAGTGGCCAGTATCAACGACACAAGAAATAGCTGGTGTTGGAGAGGATGTGGAGGAAAAGGAATGCTCACATGCTGCTGGTAGGGAGGTGGACTGGTACAGCCACTGTGAGAACAGTGTGGTGGTTCCTCAGAAAATTAATAGAGCTGCCATATGACCCAGCAAGCCTTTCTTTGGGTGTGTACCCCGAAAGTTTGAAAACACTGATTTGTAAAGACACATGTGTGTGCCCGTATGTTCACTGCATCATTCAAGGTAACCAAGATATGGAACCAGCCTAAGTATCCTTCAGTGGATGATTAGATTTTTTTAGAAAGATGCGGTACATACATACAACAGAATACTAATAAGCCATAAAAAGGAAAACACTGCTATGTGGGACAATGTAGATGGATCCTCAAAGTATCATGCTCAGTGAAAATAAGACAGAAAAGGACAAGAACCATATGATTTCACTCATGTGGGATATTAAACAAAGTGACAAGTGAACAAACTCATAGACACAGGCCATTAGTATGGTGGTTACCAGAGGTGGAAAAAGGACAAAGAGGGTCAAATATATGGTGTGACAAGAGGAGACTAGACTGGGTGATAAGCACAATGCAATGTACAGATGATGTTACAGAATTGTATACTTCAAATTCAGTGTTATTAACCAATGTCACCCAATAAATTTTTAAAAATTTCTTCTACTTCATTTTCCTAAGAAAACCTTTCCTGATCATTAGTTTTATTAAACTAACCATAAATGACCTTCAATTCTTCAATTTTTTAAAGGATATGAAAGTTAATTGCCTCTTCTCCTCAAGTCTGCATCTGTGTTCTCAGAGCAAAGGAAAAGCCATTGCTGGCTTAGCACTCCTAGTATCTCCCTTAACTCCATTCAGAATATAATTCCCAGTACAGTCAAATCTTTAGCATTAACTACTTGCATTTTCTCTCAAAGGAGAATTATTCTGCCTTTTTTTTTTTAAATCCTCGCCCAAGGACATTTTTTTTTTCATTGCTTTTTGCAGAGAAAGGAAGGTAGAGAGAGAAATAATGATGAGGGAGAGAGAGAAATAATGATGTGGGAGAGAGAAGCATCAGTTGGTTGCCTCCTGTATGCACTGTGGCACTCCTGGACCGGGATGGAACCTGCGACCTTTTGGTTGCGGGACAACGCTCCCACCAGCTGAGCCACACTGTCCAGGACTATCCTGCTGTCTTTTAAATGCCTAATTAATTTCCAGTAACTTTTCCTATTGAGTAGGTTTTGCTGAGTTTTTTCTATTTTGAATATTTTAAGCATAACATGATCAAAACATAAAAACATTGCCAGTCGTCTTTTTCATATATATTTCTGCATAAAGGACCACGAACATACCTGTATTGCCTATTTATGCCTGCCATGTCGAATCTGACTTTTACTAGAGAACTACATGCTGTGAAATTACCAAGCTAATTTGCAGTTCCTTCCTTGTTGTTTGATACTTGAAGGATGTCTGTTTCCAGGTAGTCAATGGGACTGACGTTTCCTCTACCTGTATGGCTTTTGGGGAGACGAAACTGAAACTTGTAGCCGAAACTGGATATAAACCAGAAATCCTAGTTGAATTGGGGGCTTAAAACCAGTTAGCAAGGAATAAAAGGATGTATAATATTTTCCCATTTTATGGAACTGTACTATGGTAATTACTTACCAAAAAGGGAATTTGTTCTCTAAAATACAAAACTTCTAACCAGATATTTTAATAGTTCCCCTCTGCTATTCAGATATCAGGGTAGTCTATGTGAGGAAATGAAAAAGTCTTATAAGTGTGGTTCTGATTTGGTTGGTCAGCGTTTAAAAAGAAATACCCAAATTAGAGTACTGTAAAATAGGAATTTCTTTCTATTTTGGTTCCATGCCCAGAAGAGGGACAGGAAGTAATTCTAAAGTTTAAGGATTGCCAAGGTGGCTGCTCCTGGGCTGTGGTGGAACTTTCACAGGATTGAATTGCAAATCAGAAATTGTACAAGTTTAGCCCTGGCTGGTGTGGCTCAGTGGATTGAGCACAGGCCTGTGAACCACATCCTTACCTGTTCAATTCCCAGTCAGGGCACATGCCTGGGTTGTAAGCCAGGTCTCCAGTTGGGGGGCATGTGAGGGGCAACCACACACTGATGTTTCTCTCCCTGTCTTCTTCCCTTCTCCTCTCTCTAAAAAAAAAAAAGTTCTTTTTTAATTTAAAGAAAGATTAATAAAATTTTTTTTAAAAGAATTGTGCAAGTTTAAAGAGGGCTTGGACATTGGTGAAGAATTAGGCAGCACTTTATCTCCCCTGCTGACACAGTAGTATGGGGTGGATCAGTGTTAAGATAGCTTCTTCCAGGTTTTCTCTATAATGTTTAATTTCTGTGCAAGGAATTGTAGAATGTGCAAGGAACTGTATACTTTCCCCAACCAGAAACCTAGTAACCTAGTAACTCCTTTCACACCCCTTGATTTCAGCTCCTAAAAACATATCAAATGCATTCCCTTTTTTCCTTAACCTAGTTCAGATGCCCTGTTTCTGTCACCTAGAGCCCTAGACTATTTTGTTGACTTACAGTTGGTTTCCATACCATGCATCTTGGGCCTCTCCTCCCTTCCGAAACATTAATCTGAAATGTTTTAATCTTCCTTACCTTTGGTGGCCCCACAGGGTAATTTCTTATCTCGGCCTGTAGAGCTTGTTCCTTGCTGCCACTCCAGTCTCATCTTCTACCACTCTCCTCCTGTTCTCCAGCCTTCCTGGTACAGAGGCAGTTCCCTTAACGCATCATGCTCTCGCCAGTCTCCCATCTCTGTAGCTGTAGTTCCTTCTGCCTGAAATACACACGGTCACCCCCACCACCATTTTATGTGCTTTTGTGTCCCATGGCTTCTGACAACTTTTTTTACAGTATTTGTCATCTTCATCATAATTATTTGGTTTACTGTTTCTGCCATGCTGTTAGGCATGAGGTGTGTTGAATAAATGGTTATAGCAAAAAGAAAGTACTTCTACAACACCTATTTTGCATGTTAGACCAGTTAATTTTTTATTCTCACTTGACACATTTATTGATTTTAGAGCGATGGGGAGAAGCATCAGTGTGAGAGGGAAGCATCAATTGGCTGCCTCTTGCCTGTGCCCTGACTGGGGACGGAACCCACAGGCTAGGTGTGTGTCCTGACCGGGAATCTGTCCTATGACCTTTTGGTTTATGGAATGACATCCAGCCAGCTGAGCCACGCTGGGCCAGGGCTAGATCAGTTAAATTTTTTAAAAAGAGAGGTAAATAGAAAATAGTAATGTTGATAGAGCTCTTCTCAGTCTTAGCCATCTTTTCCTTTTCCCTCTCCCACCCCCATTATATAAAATACAGCATTTGTTTCATTTTTTTTTTTAAGATTTTATCTTTTAGAGGGGAAGGGAAGGAGAGAGGGAGAGAAACATCAATGTATGGTTGCCTCTTGTGTGTCCCCCGCTGGGAACTGGCCTGCAACCCAGGCATGTGCCCTGACTGGGAATCGAACCGTGGTTGCTTGATTCCCAGGCCCCACACTCAATCCACTGAGCTACACCAGCCAGGGTCGCATTCATTTCATTTTGATTTTATTCCTACTCACATTCCTCCTGGTGCTTCCCTTTGACTGCCCTCACTGACTTCTCTTTTGGCTCACTTTCTGCATGCGCATATAGCATGGGGATCTCCATAGTAAACGCCTTTGATCTTTGTACAGTGTCTCACATCAAAGAGAAGCATGGATGAAGATTATTTACTTAATGAAAATTTAGGTTCACTGAATAAAGTCTGATTTAGAAATAGGATCATGATTCGTTTACTGCACATGTCATGAATTTGGCATAGGACTGATAATAGTTTAGCTTATCATTGTTCTCATTTGATTTTTTTTTGTATGAAGTGTATGTTACCCTGTGTAAATTCTTTTTTCCCCCCCTTACAGGTTCTGGGTCTCTCCGAGCAAAATTTGATCTTTCAGAAGGACCCAGTAAACCCACAACACTTGCAGTGCAGTTTCTCAGTGAAGGAAGCACCCTCTCAGGAGTGGATGTTGAACTTGTAGGCACTGGCTATAGACTTTCCCTAGTGAAGAAGCGGTTTGCCACTGGTAAGTTGGGAGATTTTCATGTGTACGGGAAACATTTGTGTTCTAAAGGCATGGAAGTTTTTTCTTTGACCTTTGGAATAAGGTGCCAGGCAGAGACACGCCTGGGAAAGAATATCCATGGTCACTGTAGCTGAACACCTGTGATCTGATTATAATGTAGTGTAAACAGCAGATGGGAACTGGGGTCCTGTATCTTCCACCACAGTGAAAATGTCCTTTGAGTTCATCTGCAGTTGTAATTGCAAAGCTCTACTTGGTGTTTTTCAGGCCGATACCTGGCGGATTGTTGATGGACCGAGCAAAGTGGTTGGCTCGAGGGAGTAGTACACCTGCCATTCTGCATTATCTGTTCTTTCCAAACACTATTCTAACTTATGTCTTTAAGACTTAGACATATTTGAAAGCTGACTGTAAATGTTAAGTTGCACCTTCAAAGTGAGTCATCAGAAGAAATAGCACTGAAATGGTTTTCAACGCTGTAAACGATGAACTGCAATATTCAGGAAGCACATTGATTCAGATTCTCAGTAAAAAGTTTTCATAGGCTGAAATTTTAAATTATCTTTAATATCTATTCTGAAAAACGGGGTTATAGTGTAATATCAAGCCTAAATTTTCAGGAGAGCAAGCACAAAGTAATTTAGCTTTCCATAAGATTTTAGAGGCAGAGATAGCTTTGACATTTTGTAAATTTGATATTGAATGGATTCTAAGTTTTGGATAATGTTAATTTAGAACACTCAATCAAATTGAGTTATGTGCCATAAAGTAATCAGACCAGAGTCCAAGTTGTATGCAGAAAAATTTTATCATTTGATTTTTATAAACATATAACTGTAAATGGTGTTTTATATGATTTTTTAATCCTCAAGTGCAATGTGTTTTAAAATAAGCTTGCAAAAGACAGAAATTTACTTCTGCAGTTAACTTTATAGAAGTTGTGATTGTTTTGATGAATTAATGCTGTAGATTTAATTTATTTTTATATGGATTGCATAATGTGTGCCTTTTAAAACAATAACAAAAACCAGAAGTGTGCCTATCCGGTTTGTGTTCATAAATGTGCCTCACTTTTTTCCTCACAGTCTGGATCTTCTAGTCATAATCTTGTGGTGGTCAAGCATATTACAGGATAATTGCAGGTGTTGTAAATAACTTCGGCTGGAATTGGGAAGGGAATTCGGAATAACTAAAGGATAATTGATACTTAAGAACCCTGGCTCACTTCTTCAGTGAAACACTGTAGCCACTAGAAAGAGAAAGAGCTACCTAATGGCTTAAGTTTACAGGGGGAAAAATTACCTTCAGCTTTTTGATCTTAACTTTATCAAAAGTGTGTAAATCTTAAACTCTGAAAAACTATAATGGTAAATTGGTAACTAGTATTTTAACTCTCAATTTAACATTTTCCTCCACTCCATTTATCATTGGAAATTTATTTCTTGAATGTGTTGTGAGCATGCATTTTGTAGTATTTTTGTGAGGAACATATATTATTAGAGAAGATTAGTTCTGGCATTAGAGAAGTCTGCCATTTGTTTTAATTTGAACAATTGGAAAAATTGCCAATTTGTATGTTTTCAAAGTGATGGGTTGGTTAAACATTTCTTAAACTAATAATTAAATAGTAAAAAGCCTAACTTTATAGCTAATCTTAATTAATTGAAGGAATTAAATGTTTTGGACAAGGTTTCATAGAATCTACAAATGGTAATTTTATTTATGAGGATAAATACCAGTTGTCCTGCATTTTGCATAGAAGTGATAAATTGTATTATATATGATAATTTATATAAAACCACTAACTGTTCTGTTAAGCTTTATGGAAAGTAAAACTCCTACTAGACATTTATGTAACATGTTGCCATACTAAATACAGCAGAAAATCTACTTGTTAGCAATGTATATAACACAATATGTGCTTTTTTAATATATTCAGTGTTAGCCCAATTCTAAAATTAGATTTGACTAAAGTAATACAGGAGACAATTTGCTAAAATGTCCATCTTTACTAAATAGTGAACAAAATTAGAAATTCCAACTCTTATATTGTGCTGATTTAAATGCCAATTACAGTCCCTTACTGAAAACTTAACTGTAACTGCATAGCAGTCAAATTTTTATTGATCGGTTAATATTTTATTATGGGAATTCAGACACCATTATACTTACAATGTTTGTTTTTAATCAAGTATTACCTAAAAATGTACAAATTAGTGAAGTGGTTTAACTTCTGCACTTTCTTAATCACCACAGTCTTCATACCAGGTGTCAATACATAGATTTATATTGGGTAAAGGTTACAATTTTGAAGCCATATGTTTATATTGACATGTTTTGTTTTGTTTTTTCATTTAAAAACCCATTAATGTTGTAAAAAAAAAAGAGACCAGTAGATTTTCAAAGGGAAATGTGTTTAGCAAGCTGGTTCTTGCTTATGTATAGTGATTAAATGTTGTAGCTGTCTCTTTAACCAAGAATTTGTAAACACAGAACTCTAACAAATGTGAGTTTTTAAGAATTATTTACTACTTTGAGTTGTAATTACAACAATGCAAATCTATCTTACAAAATTTTGTAAATATTTTTGATTTTTTCATAAAATGTAAATTTTACATAAAAGTTGTACCATTAATAAACATGTAATATATAATTTATCAGCTAGTTTCTGTGACTTTGTGCTCCTGTTGACAGGAGCAGCCGCGTCACAGATGCTGGGACGCCACCAGCTGGGTGAGGAAGGCGTGATTGGTCTTGAGCTTTGGATCATGGCCAGGCATACAGCCCACGCATTATTATCTAAAATTAACAGCCCTCGCCATGACTATTTCAGGTTTTATTCTAGCACTTGACCTTAACCTTGTTACATAAAACTATTTTACACTGGCCTTTCAGCAAGCCAAAAATCAGAATCATTATCATTAGACTTAAATAGAAAACAGATTATCAGAATCCATTTTCAAAACAAAAGCCTCAACACTAATCTCTGACCCAAAAGGCCTTATTATATTTTTCTTTCTTCATTACATTAACCCTTAGCCTGTTCCTATTTAATTTCCACAAGCAACCTCTGATGCAGCCAAGACACCAGTAAGTATCGATGAGCCAGTCACTACCACCAGCAAAATCCCAACTCCATTAAAAGCTCCAGGATCTCTGGTGTCATAAATTACTCATCTCATAATCCATTACATTTAAATACAGTCTTTACCTCATCATCAAAATATGTAAAACTATTATAGCCTCTATCAAAAACCCCAAATGAAATAGTCCAGTTATATTAGAAACTCAAAATTCAGGATATTCCTCAGTAGTTATAGCTGTTGTGTAACCAGAAACTACCAACATTGCCCCCCAAATAAATTTAAAAACTAATAAACCTAAAAAAAGATCCACCAAAATTAAAATACTGTAACCAGTTCCAGTTATAGCCATCCCTAAACCACTATGAGTCTTGAAGAGAAACTTAAAAAACTTACATAATTAAAATACAACATATGTTCTCACATGGAATTTAATCAACTAGTGATGTCATGAAAAATAATTGCATTTCAACTGTAAAAATACTAATGACAAATACCTGTAAATCCCACCCACTAATTAAAACTATTAGTAACTCATTCATTGATTTACCAGCCCATTAAATAGTTCATCATGATGAAATTTTGGCTCCCTTTTAGGAATCTGCTTGATTTTACAAATACACTTATACATCACATATAATAACTGCCTTCTGCTCCATAACCCACATCTGCTGAAACATGAACCACAAATGAATTACTCAGGACTCACACACCAGTGGGGCCTTGGTAGTCTTGATTTGCTTATTCATTCAAGTAGGATGAGGCCTATGTTACGGATTTTATACCTCCCTAGATATATGAAATACCGGCATCATCCTATTCACAGTAATAGCTGTAGCACTTACAGACTAGATTCTAGCATGAGGCCTTCTGAGGAGCAGCAGTTATCAGAAATCTCGCAGCCATTCTCTGCATTGGCACTAGACTAGTCAGATGGACCTGAGGAAGAGTCTCAGCTGACAGAGCTGTACTCCCCCGATGCTTCCATCTTCTACTTCATTCTCCCATTTGTTATTTCAGGCCTAGTAATTATTCACCTACTATTTCTTTATGAAACAAGATCAAACAATTCATCAGGAATTTCATCTGACAGACAAAATTCCATTTCACCCTTACTATGCAATCAAGAATGTTCCGGGACTTTTTATTCTGCACTTAGCTATACTAATCCTGTTATCACTCATTCTTCTAGGAGCTCCAGACAGTTGCACACAGCTAATCCTCTTTTTTTTTTTTTTTGGTAAAGATTTTATTTATTTGTCTTTAGAGGGGAAGGGAAGGAGATAGGGAGAGAAATATCAATGTATGGTTGCCTCTCGTGTGTCCCCTGCTGGGAACTGGCCTGCAACCCAGGCATGTGCCCTGACTGGGAATCGAACTGCGATCATGTGGTTCGCAGGCCCGTGCTCAATCCACTGAGCTACACCAGCCAGGTCAAGTCCTCTTAATACTCCACCACACCTTAGACCAGAGTGATACTTCCTATTTGCATAAGCAGTCTTATCCATCTCCAGTACATTAGGTGGCATATTAGCTCTAATTGTCTCTATTCTAATTCTAGCAATTATCCCAATACCTCTTACATCCGAACCACAAAGCATAATATTCTGACGCCTCATAGCAGACCTACTAGCATTAACATGAATGGGAAGACAACCAGTTGACAACCCATTTATCATCATTGCATCAGTCTTGCATTTTCTAATTCTTATACTTACACCAACTCACAAGCTTAATCGAAAATAATCTTCTAGGCCCTGGCCAGGTAGCTCAGTTGGTTAGAGTGTCATCCTGATACACCAAGATAGCAGGTTCAATCCCCGGTCAGGACACATACAAGAAGCAACGGATGAATGCATAAATAATTGGAACAACAATGTTTCTCCCTCTCTCTCTCTCTCTCAAATTAATAAAAATTATCATCTTCTAAAGTGAAGAATCTTTGTAGTATATTTATTACTTTGGACATGTAAACCAGGGAAGGTAAAAAGCCTCCCTAGGTCATCAAAGAAGAAGCTCCAGCTCCACTATCAGCAACCAAAACTGAAATTCTACTTAAACTATTCCCTGAGAGTTGCTTGTGAAGAGAAACATTGTCACGTGCTATGTCAGTATTAAAAACAAATGAGCTCTGGCTGGTGTGGCTCAGTGGAATGAGTGCCAGCCTGCAAACCAAAGGGTCACTGGTATGATTCCCAGTCAGGGCACATGCCTGCATTGTGGGCCAGGTCCCCAGTGGGAGCGCATGAGAGGCAACCACACACTGATGTTTCTCTCCCTCTTTCTCCCTACTTTCCCCTCCCTAAAACTAAGTTAACTCCTAAAAATTAACATTCTAGACTATTCCATTACTATGTAATACATGTATTAAGTTGCCTACCTCATTGCAATGTATTAACACCTACATGCTTGATCTGCACAACATATACAATATAGAATCATATATCAACTATTTAGTCCATGGACATAAGCAAGCACATCAAACTACGATTACATAACAGGATGGTTCATTGTACATAAAATTCCCTTTCATGAGTCTATTTGTAAACTATAGAGGTAATCGACACTACACAGAACATATTTTTGTGGCCTAAAACAACAAGCACTTAAATTCGATGGGTATTTTAAATTGAGTTTATTGGGATAACCTTTGTTAATAAGATTATGTGAGTTTCAAAGTGTCCAATATAGTACAGCACCTGTATATTGTACTGTGCACTGACCACCCCAAATTTAGTCTCCTTTCACCATGTTTGACCCCCTCACAGAGAACATAAATACCGATACTGATCGTCCATACCCTGTTATGTCATGCCAGTCACCATGCTTAGACGACTTTCCTTAGTCATCAGCTGCAGGAACCCAGCGATGCGTCCACAAATGTGCCCCCTTCTCACTCCAGGCTCATAACATGGGGTTTTCTAGAATTGAACTGTATCTGGTGTCTGGTTCTTACTTCATGACCATCTCACTTAGAATCACCCACTCTGACCTGTTAAATAAGACATTTTGGTGGACTAATCAGCCCATGCTCATGTTCAGATAAAGGCACCTGAATTATCATACATTTGGTATTTTGTAATTAGGGGGAGATGCTATGACTCATCTGTAGCCAACTGACACTTGAATACAGTCAAGCAACTGGCAGTTAGGCTTCTGTTGAACAGTATTTACCTTTGCCAACATCAGCCAAAAGATGTTATTTAGTCAGTGCTTACAGGACGTAAGAGAATTTTACATGTGTAGTAAATAGTCCCTCCTTATCCAGGTGCGTTATGGTCCAAGACCCCCGCAGATGCCTGAAATTGCAAATAGTACTGAACCCTATATATACTGTTTTTCCTACACATACGTATCTATGATAAAGTTTAATTTATCAATTAAACACTGTAAGAGATTAACAACAACAATAATAGAACAATTATAAAATATACTGCGAAAAGTTATAAATTACTTTGGTGCCTTTATTAAATAAAATATTGAACAAGGTACCACATACTACGAGCTGTTCTGATCACTGAGATGGCTGCTGTGTGACTCAAAGCCAAGCAGTTTATATGGCGTGGGTGTGCTGAGTGGGTGGGTGAGTCAAGTCTGGGGTGGAACATGGTGGTGGGACAGTGTGAGATTTTTTTTTATGTTCCTCAGAATAGCACACAACCTAAAACAAAAATTGTTTATTTCGGGAATTTCTCATTTAATATTTTCAGTTGATCACAGGTAACAGACCACAGAAAGCAAAGTCATGGATAAGGGGGACTATAGTACATGTACATAAGTGTTTGCCAAGTAAAAATTAACTTAGCAAACCTCCCTTATCCCCTGGAGACCTCAAACTATATACATTTATTAAACAGTCTTGGCAAATGCCCAAAACAAGATTACAACAGTACATAAAAGCTTACCCCATTCTATTATAAGTATCTAAGTTACAAATTAAACTGAGACCTATTTTAGCCAAGATCCTTAACTAAATAAAAATTTACAACACTAAAATTGTCACTTTTAAATCTATGGTCTAGAAAAACTTATTCCCCAGTAGTTGAAAATACTTCCACTAACAACTCACATGCAATTTAGAGTCACATTTCAATGGACAGGGAGCCGCGTGATCTATTGGTTAATGTAGCTTCATAGATAAAGGCACTGAATTGCCAACATGAGTTTTTCTCATTCCACAAACAGGTTTGGTCCAGCCCTGTTGTTAATTCTTAATTACACATGCACGTGTCTGCATCCCAGTGAGAAGGGTCTCTACATCACCAGTGATTAAAAGGAGCAGGCATCAAGCATATTAGCAAATAGCCCATTTCACTTTCCTTAACGGCACCCCCCACCAGAAACAGCAGTGATAAAAATTAAACCATGAACTGAAGTTTCACTAAGTTAAACTTAATAGGGGTTGTCTGTTTTGCACCAGCCTCCAGTCATCCAATTAACCAATTATTAGCCCTGGCTGGTGTAGCTCAGTGGATTGAGCGCAGGCATGCGAACCAGAGTATGGAGATTCGATTCCTAGTCAGGACATGTTGCCTGGGTTGCAAGCCAGTTCCCAGCAGGGGGCGCACGAGAGG